CAAACGCCGCTTTTATTTCCGGACATAAAACATTGGCAACCCGAACAATACATTGCTCAACCAATTTTCAATGGGAGAACTTCGACTGTTTTGCTATTATTTCTGCCACGAAATAGCTCGCTTTTATGTGTGTATTACAGTATTATGGATTTTATGTATGTACGTAGCGACCAGGTCACGATATCTATCTGTATTGATATCTACTCTATCATCAATCTATCATGGTTTCGATTCAAAATGGCTGGCAGAGCGCATTTCAGGAAAATAAACAAATCGTTTGTATCACATCTTTGCATACTACATCACTCGAATAATAGGTATATTCAATAATTTTTTTTATTCAATTCCGAAAATTACAGCGCGGGCGACACGAAATACTTCTGCGGGCCACATATGGCCCGCAGGCCACGGGTTGGACGATCCTGCTTTAAAACCTCTCAATTCTATGTTTTGTAATTTTGTTTTCGATAAATGAAAATAAAAGACAAGTAACACAGTTTTTTGCAAGAAAATTAAACACGGTACTAGATAAATTTATTTCAAATTTTCAGTGCCAAAACCATAGTTATACTTTAATTATAGTTTATCACGACTGCTTCGTTACGCATGATCGGCAATGTACTACGTTACCGTCTTGCAGCTTAGGTCTAGAATCAATGCGTAGTTTTCGAATCGGTTCATCAGCGAAACGTTAGCAAAATGCCGTCGCGAGGTCTCATAAATAAACGACGTGAATTGAATCTTTTTGAGCCACACATAGCATTTACTATCGATACAAATAAATTAGAATACAATGTGACAAAGAACATAGCGGTAAACACCAACGAAAAATGGAAAAATGCGCCACCATGCTGTCTCAATACCGATCCATAATAATATATATAAGCATAGTTCTCTTTTTTTCAATATAGTTTCCCATTTCACGTTATAATTGCGATTCCTGTTGCATTTTCAAAGGTAAAATATACAGTACCAATAATGAAGTGCCTCGGTCTTGCTAATTCGACCAGGGCATACAGCAATCAGCATACATGTAATTATACACGTGTCCTCTGAAAAACTCTCTCCTGCTGTTAAGCGTAGAATCACGGAGCTAAATTATTTGCGAACTCATTTTCTGCCTTTTTAATATTTATATTGTAGCAACCATTTCTGGCAGTTGGGTTAAGGCAGCGGCTCCCAACTTTTTTTTATGTCGCGGCACACTATTGACTATTTAAATATTCGCGGCATACCTATCACAAAACAGGAACATTTTCTACTCTTCTTAGCTATAAAATAATAAAAAACATAGAATATCAGATAAGGGAAATTCTATTCTTGTTAATACAACATACGCCGTATTTAAAATGGATGGTTATTATTTACCTATATTATAACTGTTTTCTTACAATAATGTACACGAGATCCACCTTCGGAGCACCTCACATTATTGTAAAAGATGCGCGGCCGCACAGGTAAAACGTGACGCTAATACGCTTTGGTTTTTCTCGCCCTTCCCCGTTCCACGTTACGCCTTATTATTATCGCAGATATTCTCACTTTTGCACAACCTAATTCATTTTTGTTACAATTTAATATGTTTCTCCCATTGCCAAAATCTTTCAATGGTGTAATTCTCAGTACTAGCGAAAGAAATGAAAGAGGCAAACAAACCGTATTTCATTATAACAATTAATTATTATCGCTAAAAACATTAAATAGGTTTAAAGTTTTTATGAACAATATTTACCGATGGACGAATCTTTCCACGTACTGAATATCATGCAAGGCCCGATCATAATTTGATGAGAAAGATCGTAGCATTTACTATGTCGAAACGCTCATTCGACTTTTCAGACCCCAGAAACTATCCGAAAAATAACCGTTTCTGTGTTATATTCCGAGATATGAAATAATCGTCAATTCCACCACGCTTTCGTGAAATAGTGCAATTAAATCAATTTAATGAAGGTTTTATTATTAGGTTTCATTGCATCAGTGATTATGCTACCACGCGTTTCGCCAGAATACTGGCATGATTACAGATCGCAAGGGTGGGCAAAATAGAATACTTTTATCGAATTGAATAATTGAAATATTCTTTACGAATTTTCAAATATCGGGTATTTTTAATACACATACAACAGGCATCCAGAATGTTGGGCATTCTAATGTTGGTGAGCTATTTCCGCCCGTCCTCTCTTTTTTATAAGGACTAATTCTTACGCAGCGTTTGGTTTTATATTCCTGGGATAACTATGCGTTCATATGGGCGACATATGTTAAAGACGGCTATTGAAGAGTGAATTCGGGATTTTATTCTGATTTTCATCGTTTGCGCCGATTTTGATCTTTCTCCCCACCGATTGTAAATTAACTGTCCCAGTTTTAAGCTAACAATATCCTCATTTCTGACGTCGGAATGCGAATATTTATGAAGATGATAATTGACCTTCTTATGATTTTACTTTCCTATGGCTACTGTGTCTGTTTTATTTTCGTATTAAATAGTAAATAAAAACCCTGCAAAGTCATCGCGTGAATCCTGAATGTTATTTTGAGTTTATAATAATTAAATAAATCGGCAATAATGGCAATTCTACTAGTCAAATATTAATTCCTTGATCAAATTCAGGAAAAATTTCGCACAATAATTTGTTACCTTGTTTGACATTTTAAATTTTACGAAACGGTGTTGGCGCGCATTATGCAAAATTTAGAATTGAAACAATACCTAAATACCTGAAATACGACTTCTCAAATTTATCGTTTCTGTTTGTTAGCAAGAGCCGTGGGCAGCGCCGGATTAACCATTAAACAATATAAGAACGTGCCTAGGGTACCAAGCAAAGGGAGCACCACAGAAATTTTTAAGCAGAATTTGATATAGTTTATCGGTGTTTATTAAAATATTACGAGTTCACCAGACCACTCAAACTTCAAAATGTTTCTTATTTTTCGTCTTCACGTATCATATTAACCTTCTTTATTAAAAATAAACACTGGAACTTATTTATTGAACACGAAATGGGCCTATGAGTCGTTTTCTTAAATTGTTGTTGTTTTTTCTTTCCAGTATTCTTGTTCTTGTTGCTGCATTTTTGTTTTAAAAATTTCTTTTTTCTTCAACGATTGGAACAATGAATTATTTACACTATGTGGCGGTTCCACGATCGCATTTCAACGATCTAGTGGTCAGCGAAGTCGGTTTTTTTTTGATAAGGTAGACCAGGGTGGTCCAAATCCTGTATGGCTGATACATTCCGTGCGGCTCACAGAACAATTTTAGCGTATATTTGTATCTAATGGAGAAACGTTTTTGAGTTTTTTTTTAGCTATCCCAACTGGGGTTGGGATCCCGAGATTCAAACCCTTTTTCTAACGCTTTGTGCCTTTATTTTAGTAAAAACACTCCTCAGTTTTCAAGCGTCGACCATGTGACGATAGTGACGAAATCCAGTTTTTTTTTAACTAGGTCCCGAAATTCCCCCATTAGACGGACTTAGTATTAGACGTTGGCACTAAGCTTGCTCACGCTGTAAGTTTTTAAATTACTAAATATAACAATTCGTAATAAAATGAGTGTCGCAAGAAAGGTGACATAAGAAAAACAGCGCGGAAACGTATTTCCTTGCCTATCACACAGTGTCTAGTTTGATTTCAAGTAATATCTGTCACGAAAGAATATAATTTGAAGCGACTGTGAACGCGAGATGCGCAAACTACAACGGTAATTCTCGGGAATTAACTTTAAAATAACTGAAGACTTTATATATCTTCTTTAAAAGAACGCCACCCATGCAACATAACAATAGTCTGATTAGAACGGTAAACTCTCGTTGTTTATTAAATTTAAAGTAAGTAAACTTGCGATATTTCGATTACTTTTGGGTTTTCTCCGATTTGCGGCCCAGGAGACCTCCTCAAAAGTTTTTTGGGGTCCTTCAACCTAGCAACCTTGAACCACCCTGAGGTAAACTACTAGGTAGGCTTACCATTCGTCCCGCTTTAGGCGGGACAGTCCCGCTTTTGCGTTCAGTCATCCAGCATAATACACGAACGTGTTCTCGTTGCTGTGTAGCGCAACGCTAGCCTACTCACCGAGAGTGAGAGCGTTATTTTGTTTGTTTCGTTGTTTCCCGCTAACATTGTTAGCCAACGTATCACATGTAAAATCAATTCTAATTGGTCCTGTTCGGACGTTCACGTGAATGTAACATTGAACAACGTCTTTTTGAAGGTGTTATTCTACAGTAAAGCATGCTGGGCGAATAAGTAAATTCCCAATGCTTGAAAACGGCAGACTATTTCATTATTCTTTTTGCTGTACATAAAAAAATCCAAATTCGGATCATTTGTATCGTTAGCGTCTATTCCTTTCTATTTTTGAACTGAACCTGATATTTAGACAGATGCGCATTAACTCTCGAGGACAATATCGTCAATGAAGACACCGATATGGCTTGAATGTAGGCCATATGTGAAATGTATGTAGCGAAATCGGGAACTGTAAAGTTACAGGAGGCGTCCCGCTTTGAAGTCAAAAAAATATGGTAACCCTACTACTAGGTACCGGTAAAATTTCAAACCACAGTTGTGACTTGTATCCTTTGGTATTTCGATTTACGTTGAGACTGGAGGCATGAATCTTTATTGTCACACTCCCTCGGGATTAGAGCTCAACCGATACATCGGCCCGATATTGCGCGTTTTCCGATATATCACATCGGCAGTAAATGGCCGATATAATGGCCTTTAGTGCTTAGGGCAACTAAGGGGCTTAATCCGCCCCTGGCAGGATTCAACTTAGAATCACTTGAATTAAATTCAAAAATGAAATCTCTTTGCGACACACCAAAATCTTTTTGCGGCACCCTGGTCATGAACCACTGGGTTAGGGGGTAAAAAAAAGGGCAGGGGCCTCGAAGACCTGCAACCGACATGCTTATTGACCCACACAAAGGATACTCATCGCAAAACTACCTTATCCTATCACCATGAAAACATAACAAACACAATGTGATATTGGCATCTCTGGGTAGTATCTGTATTACAATATGTTGTGTAGAAATAGAACAAAAAGTATAATAATAACATTGGCATTACAGAACGAGAGAGCAATGCTAATACAATCCGTATAACAGCAAAAAAAAATTCATGAAAATGATCATAACAATTAGTCTGGTACAATTTGATGATGATAAGTTTAGTTCCGATTTCCATAGTTTTGTCAAAAACTGTCGAAGTTTCCACATATGAAGGCACTTGGTATATTAGAAGAAAGAAATTTGCCCCAACTGATCAAAGAAGCCGAAAATTAGTCAACAAGACAAGTGCACAGACTCAAATACTGTGTTACATATATCGGTAATCGGTAACAATAGGATTCAATTTTGCGATAGTATTTGAGTTTCTTGAGAATGGGATCCCACAATGATGTATAATAAATTAGCACAATGTATTAGTTAGTCACAATAGTTTGGCAGATGTTTTGATAATTCAAAGAACTTTTTTTTCGTATTACAACCTAGTGAGCCAAGGTTACTATGACAATTTTTAAAAGTTTCTGTATTCATGTAGACCGATTGTCACAATATCGCAAGGACCTTACACTAAAATTGGTAAGGTTCTAAATTAATTGGGAAGGTTGCTCATAAATTGTCTATAACTAATTTTGAAATATTGGGAATTGAGAAGAAAACAGGTTTTTGTTATATTTTTCGAGAACAAAAATGTGAATTGTTAAAAATTAGCATACCAAATAAAGAAATGTTTTTCTATATCATATCCTATAAAAATATGTATAGAATCATATTAAAAACATGAAGGCAGTGGAAATCAAATCAGAACTCTGCTATTGCATTTAAAACTTTAGTGCAAAATGCTCATCAGTTTTCACTAAGATGGTTTTTTCCAGTGTTATTCTTTCTATAAACACTAAATTTAAAACTTCTGTGTTGGTTTTAAAATTGACATTAGTTTTTATATTATCAGTCAAAAAAATGGTGTCTGAATTTAGATTATGTAAGCAATACCAGTCAGGGTTTAGAATGGCGATGATTCCACAACAAAAAGCCAAATTTTCACCTGTAAACAGTGCCTAAAAAATTCAGTGATATTAAAATTTTTAATAACTTATCCAAAGCACCATTTAAACATCTTAGTACAGAGGCAGTAGAATGGTAATCATACAGTAGAAGTTCGAGATATTGAATGAAATAAATTTTGCTACAAAACCAACAAATTTGAAAATGATAATATGGAGTATGATCAAAAAGCATGATTATTATTACTTTCAGCAGAGATTACAGGTTGCAAATTCCCATGAAAACTAAAAATATACTTGTGAAAACAACCATCGCTTACAAGTAGTTTGTGGGTAGTACTTTTAAAAAAAGAAACATTGCTAGAAATCGTGTATCAAGTTTCAGACAAAAGCTAAAAATTTGATATCAGGTGTAAAAAAGGGGAAAAAAATCTTTGGGTTTTAATAAAAATGTACTTTACAAACTAAATGTCAAGAACTGGTGTTATGTGTACTTATAATGCTAAAAAATTTGCATCTTTCATAATACAACCATGAAAATGAATTATATAAAAATGATAACATACTTAGACTTCTTACAAACTAAAAAAAAAAACATCGACATTATTCAGTACATAAATGAGAAAGAAATTGCAAAGAAAAAGCGTTCAGTTGTCACAAAAAGCATTTTCATAAAAAGCAACAAAATTTTTACAGCAAAAGACTGATAAATGATTGCAATGCGCTTCTGATTCTGTTGAAAATTTGTGTACGCAACAAGAAAAATCACCCCAAAAAATCAGTATTTAAACAAAAAGGGATAATACCGTTGTATCTTTTTACCTCTACTATGACGCTGACACAAATTTTCCACAGACATTTTTTGAGAGAGATAATGCAATATTCTAAAAGCAGACAATGACCAAATAAGATTAGTTGCGTTATTAAACAATAAAAAGAAATAAGAAAATTTGTTTTATAATCTCATTAAATGTTTATACATCGAGTATTATTGTCTTGATAAAAATGGAATGGGGAGAACGTATATAAAAAATTCATGATTTTTCTTCAAGTTAAATTTCTCTACTAAGATACTCAATGAATGTTAAAAATCAATTTCAAAAAACCCATAAGCTGTTAGATAATACATCATTACAGTATATTGATGCAGAATATAAAATGTCATATGTGATAAAAGAATACCAATTTTGAAATCTTAATAAGCATCAGAATATGTTAAATACCAGTATATACCTAGATACCTAGATTGATATCAATAGTAATCAGAATGAAAAAAAAATTCAGAGTACTGAAATTATGAAAGCACATGCATCAGTTGATACTTATTGATATTAGTAATAACTATATTATTACTGATTGTTACAGCATGATTTGGCCAAGGCACTACCTTTTATTTAAGACAAATCTCCGAAGATCAATGAGGCTGGACCTTGTCAGCATTTTGAAGGCACTTTGGCAACACAGTACAAAAAAAGCCAAAAGATTATTAAATCAAAGGTTTTCTGTGTCACAAAATTAAAAAAAAACATATCATGCTATACTACGCATATTTATTTCTATTTTTTCTTGTAGAGAATTGACTCAAAACGAAGTTATGTGCAATGACCCAGAAGTAAAAATAATGATCTTTGAGCAAAATCAAAGGTTACAATTGGAATATCAGTAGCTACTGGGAATTTATAGAATGATGACGATGTACTAGGCACTAGGGAATCATTAGGGTGATGTAACAATAGTAAGCCAGAGCTATTACTAAAAAGTGTTGTGATGTCGCCAATGACATTCCTAAGCATTTCACATTACAATGGCACTTGGCAATATTTGTATCATAAAAGTATGTTTGGTGTTGGAACAATGAATATGGATAATTACAAGAAGAGTTATTCGTAATGTAATTGTGAGAAAAATATAGTAAAAACATGTTTACACACGGATGACAAAATCGATTTCTTTTATCTGCAAATCTACTCAATAAGGGATCAAGACATAATTTGTGTTTGAAACAGGGGCTGTTGCGGCAGGGCTAGAGTCAAATCTTCAAACCATTCGAAGACAAATTCGAAATTTCATACATTCAATGAAGTCAAAAATTTATTCAGAAACTCAAAAACATCGAGTTTACTAAGCGATCTTGACGGTTTATTTTAAAGGAGGCTTGCATACTCAACGGTTTTTATTTCAAAATTTATTTTCTCAGTGTTAACCACCTCGAATCGAAATCCATTTTTTTAAAATCTGGCGCCGGAGTCGATGGTTTAGTAGAAATTAATAAGGGTGTTTAATTTGGATTACTGTAGTCAAATTGTTCTCACAAATTGAGGTGGTCAAAATTATCAGTTTTCCCATAAATGTTTACAGTTTTGTGCAGGAAAATAGATATATTGATAATATTTGAAAACAAATTGAACCGGTAACATTCGAATTCCCAAATTTATTTGTATAAAGTCATCCCTATAGCTCTTTCATAATTTACCTTCAAATCAAACTATTTTATAAAATATGAATGTACATAAAGAAACGAAGCATGCGATGTGATATAAATTGATATGTCTGAAAGTCAAAGAAAAAATTACCAAGTGGGACAAAGAATTAAATTAATAAAATAAGGCAGCAGCACACCATACTAAGGCACTGAAAATAGAAGGAATATAAACATAAAGTAAGAATAGAAGACACAAAGAAGAACAGAGGAGAGCTGCTCTCAAAGTGGTCTAGTACTCTCACTCCATGTCATTAAAATACTGTTTTTCGTTTTATAACAGAGCACAAAAGACTAAAAAACTACAAAAAATAACACCATATTTTTAGTCAGTGAGAGAAAACACCTAAAACAAGCATGAAAATTTGTTGTAAAAATGGTAGTCAGTGATATTTGATTTGCTAAAAAATAATGAAACACTCTTAGTAGGAGGCAGCAACTAATAATTGGCATGAGTGGTTATCAAGGCAGCAAAACAATATAAGGCATTCGGCAACTCTGGTTTTTAGTTCAAGAATGGGTACTCCAGTAGTGTGTGTACCAGTTCAGGGTTAGAGCATAATTTTATTCCGATTTTCCTTATTTTAGTTCTATTACGAGTTCGGAGACTGTCTGTGTGGGCTTTCAGGAGACCAATTATAAAGCCATATATACCAATTATTAGAAATTTATTTACGCTCATTTAAGGCTTTTGCTCCAAACAAGACACTGTCCAAGCAGTCGTTGCTAGGTAACAAGCTACTATTTTTGTGAGGAACAGTATTCAACTTCACTGCGAAAATGTCTCTATTACGAATTAAGACAAAACTCAGAAATATAATACAAAAAATTGGAGTAAAATTTTAAAAATGATTCACTTTACATATTGGTGAGAGAAAAAGGCATTAGGGTTATAGTTCACTTTGCAACCTTTAACCCATGCTCTATGGCATATCTGGAACTAATCTCAGGATACGATCTCATTTGGCAACGTACTGCCTCCAGTGAAGTGTAGTAAATATATTGTTAATGAAATGTCGAGCAACCTTCTAATCACCTTAATAACAATAATTATTATTATAAAGTGTTGTTCTTTCAAAATATTGCAGCAAAATTACACATATATTGGAGTCACTGTAACATAAGAGTCTGTAAATTCTCTTGTAGAATCGTATCTTTCACTGCGTTGAATACGAAACGAATATTGTTGGTATCGATTGCCATTGTGAAATGGTGAAAGAATGGTTTTCGACGATCTTTCCGTTGTGACTCAAATCTGAATGTTTATAATAGTACAAAATTGATTAAAATGTTTACTGTTAATTAATTAGTAAATGAATAATTAATAAGTTAAACAATTCATATATGTGATAATATCTTTATAAGCAATAAAGAAAGTAATATTTCATTCTTCGTGATCAGGGATTAGAATTGAGGATTTTACTGGAAATAATCATAGTGAAAATTTTTTGCAGGACCTCATAAACCATACGTTGACTGAGCAGTTCCACCAGAAAATTTAAAATGCATACGATACAGCTTTTTTATAATCAAAATTTTGTTTTCGGAGTTACTTTTAAATAGGATGTAATTTTTTCCTATTCCACAGCCGTGCTTTTTATATTTTTTAATCGCCCCCAAAAAAGACAAGAGTTAAATAGCCTAATGAATTTGTTCAGATTGGGATTAAATTTAGTTTTGGCATGAAACTTATTGTTTTCCACTTTTGCTTTTGTAACACTGTAAATATTGATCAAAAAAATGTAACTCATCAAAAATATAGAATCTATATCAACAAAAAACTAGAATTTGTTTCAATATCACTCACTTGTATACAAGAAAATTCTTTACATCTGATAAATTGAGTGGATCTCCATCAAATTCAGGAAAATAGTCGGAAATCTTTAGGCCTTGATTGACTTTTTCTTCCAATAAATCATTCTTGTTGAGAAACAATATAATCGATACGTTGGAAAAATAGATGTTGTTAACAATCACTTCAAATATATCCAGAGATTCCTGAAAAAAAAAAAGACAGAAATAAAAGTTAAAGCTGAAAATGTAGAAAATATATCAAACAAACCATTTTGAAAAATTAATTTAATTTTACTTTTTTTAGTGAAACATGCCTTCTTAACAGAACTGTGAGTTTTTGATAAAACGATCATTCTCGCCTTTCACTCCGAACAATTTTTTTGATTCGACATTGCCTACCCAATTTACTATAACCTGGGTGAGGTAGGGGCAGGGGCATAAGATTTGGGCCCACGATGTGTAATCTGTGATGCCAAGACAGTTAAGTCTAACTAGGGTTGTAAAAAAATTACAATAGCGTGCTCATGTGAAAATTTGTATTAAATATCGGTTATGTTTGGCTTGTTTTATATCTACTTTTTTTTCCTAAGCAGCAATCAATAGCTGGCTCTAATACACTCTTATACAAAGCGGTAACGTATACGATATCACACTCATTTCAGGACGCCACTAATAGGGCAAAAGCCAAAAAAAAAAACGATGAAATGCAGACGTAGAAATTTCTATCAATTTCAGACCAAAATGTTTTTGGTGATATTTTATTATATTTACAATAAATATTCCCAAATCCCAAACACTACTACTCTAAGGTCGGTGAACCCAATTTTTAACATTTGAAGCCATGGCGACAAGGTTCCTTAGAAAAAGGCCAAAATTCAAAAATATTCTGTTTATAAATACAATTTCCAGGCAAAATGCTTTTGAGTATTTTCTTAATATTTTACAATAAATGTTCTCACAAAATATTACTCAAATACATTTTTAATGCTACGCAATGGTACTGGTAGCTACTCAAATGTTAGCAAATCCAATTTCACATTTAAAAGCTGTGGCGAATAGGCACAAACCAGAAATACGCGGATATTCAGCGGTAGTAAGTTTAACTAAACAATTTCCAGTATGAATTTAGTGTACGGGTAATTTTTGCAAAATTTCACACAAAAACTACTCAAATGTCAGCAAATCAACCTGAAAGTCATATTTTGACTTGATAATGTGAAATCCCCATAACATATTACATTTACAAATTAACATTCCCTTGTCTGCATGCATTTTTCCACTCTATACGAAAAGGTTAAACACCAGACAAACAATATAAATTATCCACACATTTACAATATTACCAAAACACACTTTTCAATTGCAAAATACTTGAAAGATTAGCATAAAGTTACCTGTTATCTGCGCTAAAATAACACCATCATAACACTGCACTAATATTAATAGATACTACTGTTATATATATATTTGTTCCACGTTTTTGTATTAATAATAAATTCTTAATCGAGCCATGCTTGATGTCATTATGAAAAGAGTATCAATCATGTTTACTTATCATTGCGCCATGCGTGGTCGAACATCATAATAAAATAATGTTTAGGGTCAATGAATGTGTCAAACCCTTAGTTACTCATTTACAATAATAACCATAGAATTTTCTATATATCGTACCATATATGAAATGCATATAAATTTTACTATTGAGATTTTCCATCTTCGGGCAACGCTTAGAAAATGTATCCATTTTTGTTCAGGGGTTCAAGAAAACACAAAGAGAAACATTGAGGTGATGAAAAGTAAAATCGTTTTATTGCCAAGTTGAGAAATTTTGCCTGTGTGAGCTAGTGACAAAAATCAATAGAGAGTATAAAGAATGCTAGAATAAATTGAATGATTGTATCTTTTTTTTTCTATAAAATATGAAATTTAACAGTGAAATATTAATTTATTCAAAATTCTGTGAATAATGTCAGGTATGATAATCACACTACAAATTAGATCAATTATTAACAATTTTAATTCAAAATTGAATTAATTACCGTAAGATTCTAAAGTATTAATATAATCCAATACAGACAGTTTTCAAATCACATTGTTAATATTATAATAAATGAATACAGATAGATGCTTTTAGACTTGAAAAAATTTACGTCAAGATAATCAATAAAGATATTTTTCAAACATTTACTGGATCTAGTGTCAAATTTTCAGAAAGTGGCAAAACTTCTATGGAATTAAATATGGATTTTTGACTAACGAATAAACTGAATATGAGTGTGTCTATTGTGGCAAAGAAAATATTTCTATATTCAGTGTTTCAGACATTCACTGTTATAATCATTCAAGAAGATATTTCTATATTCAGTGTTTCAGACATTCACTGTTATAATCATTCAAGAAGATATTTCTATATTCAGTGTTTCAGACATTCACTGTTATAATCATTCAAGAAGATATTTCTATATTCAGTGTTTCAGACATTCACTGTTACAATCATTCAAGAAGATATTTCTATATTCAGTGTTTCAGACATTCACTGTTATAATCATTCACACACAATACAATTTTGACATCCCAAACAGCATGGTGACATTGAGATAAACAATAGACTGGACAAGGATCGAACCCAGGATATCAACTTGTAATGAAAGCACTAACCACTGGACCAAAAGTTATCAACTGTATGCCATGAAAGGCACCAAAGTATAACAGGAAAGTTTCAGGTTTATAATACATTAAGATTACTAGTGTATCTGACTTTTCTCTTACGTTCCATTATTTTTTTTTATTTAATCCTTGCACACTGTTCAAAATGTTAAATTATGATATGAATCATCACAATTTTCGCGATTCAATTTGCTTATGTGGATCTTCTTTTTGGCTTTGATCAAGAAAGACAAATTTGAACGTAGTCTAACCTTCTCATGTAACCTTCTCATAATGTTGTACAATAATATTCCAAAAGCTATGACGTAATTCAGTTCCATTCATCTCGAAACAAAAGAATGACCTGCCTTATCTATCCATACTCCAGATGTACAAACAAATACTAAGTGGAATCAAATTAAACAAACATTATCAAAGTTCATTTTATTTATGAAAAGTTTTTATCACAGTAAAATCCTACCAATTCTAAGTCATAACAGCCAACTTTAACTCAGATAATCACAGTGAGGAAAAAAGAAGACTATCGGTCAGAGACCGAAGAAAGTTAAGGGATCCCCCAAAACAGCGCTCTTACTCCATAGTGACACCTTGTGTCCCATCACTAATTAATTGATAACTCGCAAATTATACGACATAATTCATCCAAAATCAATAGGCTTCTGGTCCGACATATGATGAATGCACATGCAAAATCTGGAGCAGATTCAATCTCGCTTTCGTGAGATATAGCGTGCATCTAACAGATAAACAGACAGACAGACAAACACCTATCAACATACTTACCAATTAAAATCGATAAGTAATAAGGGTTTTGGTCAATCTTTATTCAATAGTTGTAAAATCAATACATTGTCCTGTAGCTAAAAATCGAAATTTCAGACTTGAAGGGCTTGAATGAATGAATACATTAGAAATTTAATTATTGAAATTTGACAAGAATTTGAGTCAAAATTTCCATCAGTTCAAAGTCAGAGAGTGCCAAGCCCAAGAGCTACTGATACTATAAAGAATTGCAGCGATAAATAACATGTCTGTAAATACGGACATATTTTTGAAGTTCTTGGTAAAAAACTTTTCGCATCAATACTATTGTCTGGTGGGTACATTGACGGTAAACGAATGAGTGCTTACTGCCAACTGAATACTACGGCTGAATTGAAAACCTTTTCTGGAGAGACAAGTTCAAGCATAAACACAAACTTAGTACTTCAATATGCAACAGCATGTAATATCTTAAAGTACAGTAGATCTCAGCCATTCAAAATACTTTTACACTTATTTGCTTCTCCTATCCACATGGTTTAAGGTCAAATTTTATATTCATCCCATGAAAAATAAATTCCATTAATATGTCTTTTGTGTAGTAAACAAAACGAACAAATTTCTCGTAGTAGGTTCCCATATTTGCTCTGAATATGGCTCTGTTCATGAAGATTTTTTATTACAAGAAAACCACAATTTCCAATTCTATCTACAAAACAATGATCTATCAATTCGCCAAATACCAACAAATAAAGGGGAAAAATAGTTCAACAACAGATACAGGTGTTGTACCGATATAACCCTATCGACGAGTTCAAAAATATAACATAACCACTGAAAATACATATTTAAGCTAGGCAAGATACATTATAAACTTAGCATTGTTATATCATATTATAAATCGTGCTATCTTGCCAAAAAAATAAGGTTAAAAAACCTCAAAAAATGTCTGATAATTAACCGCAAACAACTTTTTGCTACAAAACGTCATCTAAAACAACAAGTTGAATTTTTGTGGCCGATAGCTTAAACTATTTTTGTAAGCCAGACGCAACTATAAATGTTTAGCAAAAAACTATTTTGATCAAGCATTGCTAATCTATTCTGCTTTAATTAATAAAAGTAAGACTTTTACGGTTTGTAGAAATTACATGGTAAAATATAGCATATATATCGTAACCATGTTACAAAACTCACAGTCATAGTGGGAATTTGAAAAAAAAATCGATTTGAGAATATATAAATTCCTACAAAAACTTTAAAACTCATTTGAACTAAATGCTCAGTGCTTCTCTGGATTTAAACATAACAAGAGAATGATGCTCAAACATACGGACAAGGAGTTCCAATAAATAACCAACCGCAGTACCTGTATACCTAAAAATGAAGTCCGTTATGTGACCATTCTTTAGCATAAAATGCAACATACAAATCGTAAGGTAAGTAAAATATCAAGTCACCTAGTGTGTGTATGTACCAATATGGAGGTAACTAAATTTTGTTCGCCTATTTTACATCGAGTTGTGCAAAGGGACTGAAACCACTTGGCTAGCACAGACAGTCCCCGAACTCGTAATAGAACTAAAATAAGGAAATTCGGAATAAAATTATGGCCTAACCCTAACCTGGTACACACACTACAGGAGTACCAAAATAAAGCATAGAAGTTTTACTAAAAACTTGTAAACAATTTGTCAATTAGCTTCAAAGAAAAGTGATATATACCAAAATATGTATTGTGTATTCAAATCATTTTAACAAAATGAGATTCACATGATAACACATTCTGATTAACTAGGCATAGATCTTATATAAACCAAACATGATGTTGGCAATTGATATTCCATACTTAGAGAGCAATTAGCACCAATGTGTAATAATGTGATAGTAGACTATGTTGACAAACTTACAAGCAAGCAAATAATAATGGAAGGTGTGAAAACGAGTGATGAAAATGTGTATAACGAGCTGGGCAAATTTTAAATTTATTGATGCAATGTTTATCACTGGAATTTTCGTCGGCGTGGTGCTCCAGATAGCGATTGAATTGGGATGATTTCAACTCAACGTCACAATGTATATCAATTTAATACCAAAAAATATAAGTAACGTCATAGACTCATAGGCATAGATAATAAATCGGAGGCCTGGCTGGTACTCGAATATACCAGATTGAACTAAATTAAAAACTCGTCCCACGGGCCACACACCATTCAAAATTGGCACTTCTCAACGGGCCATACAAGTTTTCCTTTGGGTCGTAATTTGGCCCGCAGGTCGTAGGTTTCCCACCTCTAGCCTAGGAGTTCACTTAACTGTGTTGGCATTGGGGGTTACACATCTTTACTTCAGATCCCGTCAACACAAATTGACCCAGAAGGTGAGATCCTGGGTAGGGAATGTCGAACTGGGAAGAATTCAACCCTTCAAAAGATATAAATCAGTGCCTGCTTGTACAAGGCTTTGTTCAGAGAGAAATGCATCGATTTATAATCAGCATATAAAAACAAAAAACATCTCACCCTCAACCGATTAGTTTTCCTATCTTCCATTAAAACTTGATCAAACTCCGAAGTGGAAGCCATGAATAAGATTGATGTAACGTCTTCGAAGCACTGGAACCATTTCTGAAAATATTTCTTCACTGAGTGTAAACTTTGTATGATAACTCAAAATTGTGGGATGCAGAAATGAAAAAATTAACAAAAAACGATAAATTATAATAAAATTTTAACTACAATGATAGATGGAAATGATAACATGCATCACTAAGACAGCAAAACAATAAATTAAAAAAAAAAAACTAGAACTAAAATTGACCGAAAATAATTTCAGTCAAAATTGAAACAAACTTTGCATCAACAAGATATGTAAAACCACTTAGTGGATATTATGTAACTAATATTAAGGTCACAAACTCCCTTTCCTTGCTCTATGCCTTCGTACAAGTGGATACGTATGCGTATTACGCAAGGATGCCATAGCAAGTATAAAGATAACTATTCTAAATGATATTATGCATGTAATCTTTCATGTTTTAACCCCCATCGTCACAGGAACTAGGAACAGGTTCCTAGGAACTAGGAAGTTCCATTTTGTTTGTCGTTTGTAATTATTGTTATTCCTGTATTGTGTAATTTGGAGTTCTTGAATAAAGCGTTGTATTGTATAGTGTCAATGTTAACAAAGGCACCATAATTTGAGCAAAATTTGGCGAGTTTTCAACAAAATAGACATGAACTAATTTGATAATTTTTTAAAATTTTTGTAATATAATCAGGAATGCTTCTGAAGGGAAGGCGGAATTGTGTTTATGATACCTAACCCTAGTCTCTATGTATTATTATTTTTTTAGGAATATAGTACTCAAAAATATTAAGTAACAGCTGTTAATTTTCATATGAATATGCTGCGAAATTTAAGACGATTTTGGCATGATTACATTGGCACAATTTTTCCTTGTAGGGAGTATTTGGCTCTAGGGCCGCAGGTTGCACAACCTGGTCTGTTGAAAAGGCTGAAATTTTTATTATTAAATTTGATCAATGTTTTTCATTAGAGGACATGAAATTTTCCGCAGCTCCCTCACATTCCCTGAACATACTAGGGACGTACAATGTTGCCTTACCAAGCAATTCATAGGCTATTTAATAACAATACATGGTGATTTTCTACTGTGTTCTTTTCAAGGACCAGATAGAATGTTCAAAACGAAAAATGCGTGATACTGGTGTATTATTACTTCATGATGAATTCAATAATGCTAATCTAATCCAAAATACGAATTGCTATTTTCAAAAAAAAAATTTGGAAACGCTGAACACGTCTGATGCTTCAGATTCAGAAAAGAGCACTTGAAATTTGACACAGAAAGATGTAACTTAAGATATACTTGAATCTTATTTATTCGGGTTATAAGGACACTTGAATAAGATAAAATTGTATAAACGAAAGAGTGACTAGCAATTTATCTCATTCAAATAATGATGTGACAAGTTTATATTCAATAATCTGTTTGAAACGTTCAATGCAATTGCTTTGAACTAAATTTTTTGAAAATAAAATATCGAATATATTTTAAATTAGACCATGTTTAAAAAAATATATTGGATCTGGGACGCAGGAAAATTAGGATTAACCGTGGTAATTGGTTTTAATGATTAGTGTGTTATATGAGGACTTGTTCTTTTAATATCTGTCAAATATCACCAAGCCTAAATGCAGTATGGTGATTGATGTAGAATATATCGTTTTGCTAACATTAATAATTTTGTTGTCACAAATTTATATTCTATTGAAACCAAATATAATGGAAGTTTCCAGGAATTTAAATCGAAACTATTATGTTTGATTAACTTACCAATAAGTCAAATGAAATGTTATGGTTATATTCATGAATTTGTAATATTAAATATATACTTTGAATTTTTAATTTATCATTTTAAGACTATGGTGATAATCTGAAATATTTCTTAAATTAGGAATTAAGATTTGCAATACGGTAATTTCTTTGATAAATAATTTTGTTTATAAATTAGCAAATTATAATGGGAAGTTTTGAAAACCCTTTTTAAGTTATGACCAGTAGGCTACAGTAGGCTACATCCAACACACAGCTAATGATGAATTTGCAAGCAAGCAAAAGCTATGCCAACATAAATATATGTCATGCAATGACATTCTCATACCCTGATATAACGTGACGCTGAAACTTCTCGACTCTGGAATGCTTTCAAATTTTTTTAATTTGTTCGGTATGGCTTCAGTTTTTTCTTTAGCTTAAAAAACAAGTTTGAATAAAATACAAAAATCAAAATATGATTGAATACCTGTCTTTGACTCCTTTGTCCACCGACGTCGAAAAATCGGAAAGGAATTCGTCGGATTTCGAAAACGTATTCTTGTATTCCCTTTGTTGCTTTTCTTGATAAAAGCATATCTTGCTTGCTGGGAACGTAATCCTAAAAATTAACAAGACGATGTAAAGATATATATAAAACGAATCGAATATTCGAATCAGTTTATAATCAGTTAAATATGATAGCCTATTACCAATTCTTGATTAGTAACAATATCACATATATGCAAATTTGACATTTTTACAATATAACCAATATCTATAAACTGTAAATTATAGAAAACCGTTCAAATTATTGTTTATATGCCATTTATCTGAACTTCAGAAACAAATTCTTGATTTTACTGATAATTCAGAATAGTTTCAATTGAAAAATATCATAATTAGCATTCAAAGTTTACTAAAATGACGGAGAGCGCCTATTTTATTTCTAAAAGCTGTAAAACATAGAAAATCAGCCAAATTACAAGTTAGTCAATCTGAACTTCCAAACCAACTCATTGAATATACAATGACTTCAATGTGATTTTTGTTGAAAAGGAACAATTTAGGTATTCCATATTGGAATATATTATTTTAGAATGAATTCAAAATAGGTTAATCCGTTTTGGCTATCCTTGCCTGTATTCTTACAATATCCTATTATTCAAATACCGGTATATTTACTCAACTAGTAAGCAGTACCAATTTTCAATTTCACGCCCTGGTATTAGTTTGTTATCTTTGGCCAATTATCGATTATAAATAATTTAACACATATAAGTATGAATCATGCTTGACTGATTATAATCCATTGATAATCAGATTACAAGATTGTTTATCAAAAGTCAGTACTAAAAGTATTGAAATCTCCATGGCCCGAGGGCGTCCGTCCATACTTTTAAAACATCGCTAATATTGCAATGCAAGCGTATTCACTACGGGTAAAACTTAGATATTGATAGGTAGATATTGACAAAAAACAACATCCAATTTATACCAATCACGTTAAAAATGACAAAAATGACATTTCCAATGAAAAAATATCAGAATAGAGTTGAATATTAATATCACAAAAATAGTATTTACCGGAAGATATACACCAAATGATGATTTCTTAAAAATGGATTTAAAGTTTCAATCTTTAATTTATTCAATGTTTTATATGTAATATTTAGTAACAACAGCCCTTGAAAGACAAAGCCTATACCTTAACTTAGGTACCCATAAAAATCCTTCTAACTAGTGTACAACAGGTGAGGAGCAAACGGTGTAGTTAGTCAACATTTGGAATGCCTTTACAGACAAACCTCGTCAGGATAATTTAATTTAAAAAAACAAAAATATATACCGGTAAGTAAAACGCTTGTTTTCGTGTGAAATTTTGATAAAATTTGTCATGTAATGAAAATTTACAGAGGGAATATATAGGGGGTTTTGAGTTTTAACCCAGAAAAAAAACGAAACTTGAAAACTGTTTTAAAAAAATGAGGAAAACATTTTTTTCATTTCAAAACTTTTTTAACTTTTAATTGGAACATTTTGACGAATATCGCTTTAAACTCAGATTAGAAAACCGGTTTAAACAACTTCTTTCTAATTTGTTCAAATAACTTTGTTACAAAATTTCCACATTCTCTCAGTTGTCTTGAAACTCATGATATGCATTTTTATAACAGGGGATGACAAACTCGAATAATGTAATATCTCGAATACATTCTAAAATAATCTTTTTGAATATGATATATCGAATAGATTCAGAAACGAGTCTGTTTCACAAGAGAAATTTTTCAAGATAATTGTGAATTCGTAGAAATCAAATTCAGTCATGCTTAATATTTGAGATGATCATTGCTTTAGTAAGTATTCTCTATTTTACTTTGTCCGAAGTTGCTAAGACAATAAATGCTAAAAAAGATTTTCAATATAAAAAAGCATTTTCAAATAAATATTCCAAGTATTCCTAAGATCGAGAAATTACTATATTTATATTATATACCCAATTTTGAATGTACCGTATTTGAATATTCGATAATTTTTGGACATTCCTGATTTTCAATACTAGAAATCAAATTTGGTTTATATAATGATATAGTTAAGATAAAAATCAACTCACAGGTGCACTTATCCGGTCAATATTTTCATAAAAATACCGAACTGATTCACCCTGTAAAAAAGAAGAATAATTAGATTAAGCTAAATATATGTGGAAAAATTAGGCTTAAAATTGAGACAATAATAAGGTATAATATTACAAAATGCAATGAATTAATCAGGTAATGTAATACTATAATTATGGATGCTCATAGACTTCACAGTAGTATTTATGGGATCTAAAATTTGTAAAGTTTTGAAATTTTTTTTTTTAAATTGAATGAATTTTGGTCCATAAACTATATTATGATGAATTTAACAATTAAGAAGAAAAAAAAAATTGAAATCTGAGATAAGGAAATCTCCATCAAATATAAAGCACACTTGATCAAATAGCCTCAAATTCAAATAAAAATATTGATCACTGGGTATTATTATACTGAACAAAAAAGTATACATTTTCTTCCACAATGACTATATTGATAAGGCTTAATATCTTAAGCAATGGATCTTCATCCAGTGTTCCAGAAGTGTATGTACCAATGGAGATAAATAATTTTGTTCGCCTACTTTACATCAAGTTATGTAGAGGGACTGAAACTTATGGGCAGGGGGTATATTCACTTGGCTAACACAGACGGTCACAAACTCGTAATAGAACTAAAATATTCTCAGTTCAACCAGAAAGCTTACAGGAAAATCGGAATAAAATTATGGCCTAACCCTAACCTAAATACTCGATCTGCGATAAATTCAATGCATTTTTACTTTCAAATTGGGGATTCAGAAACTAAAAGGGTAACTGAGAAGTATGCTACCGTAAATTCCTTAATTAACAATCAATGGCAGATTTTAAAAATGAATGGAATTGCAATTCTATTATGAACTAATAATATTAATATTTGTGGTTTTGGGTAAATTAACATAAATTTATTTTCAATTGAATTCAGTGATACATGAATATACAAAAATAGATAATGTGGTTATGATTGAGAAATACTGCTCCAAAGGATTGTTAATAATCACGTAATACGACTAAAAAATAATTTCAAAAAATTTTTATGTACAGGAAAGAAATTTAAAACAGGCAATTTATTGAAGTCTGAAATGTGGATATGATTGAGAAATACTGCTCTGAGGGATTGGAGATAATCATGTAAGACCATTAGAAATTTTTACAAAAAATTCTTTTTGTACAGGAAAGAAATTTAAAACAGGCAATTTATTGAAGGCTGAAAACCAATGTTTTAACATACAGATGGGGGTTAATCTGATAATTCAGATCCCATCTCCAAGAAAATTTAAATTCCCGACAGATACTCAAAAATCATTAAGTTTACTAGACTATTATAAAAGTTCATATTGTCAAATTTTGTTTTTATTAAAGAGTTCGAAGTAGTAGGAGTCAAAATTTTGTTAATCAAAAGTCAGGAGCCAAAGTCGAAATGTTCTTCAAATGGCTAAGAGTTTGTGGAGTCAATAACTTACCAATTGAAACTCTCTCCGCCTGTCGTAAGCTTCCTGTATTCCAGTATCTTTCCATAATTCCTTAATATGAGGTGTACATTGTAGAAATGCTTCAGGATCTGTAGAAATATACCTATCGAATGCCATAATGTAATCCGCTTGGCTTTGTCTGCTGGGATCCCCCCAAGGTATTCCAAGTTTATCCCTGGCATCCACCAGAACCTGGAACAATACAATCAAAAACTAGCAATGAATGAAATTTTGAACATTATAGTTACATTTATACAACTCTACTATCAGTAATATTAGGCTCGAATTGGAACTATGAATAATTTCGTTGTTGTGAGGAAAAATCGACCAATAGACCAATCAAATTTCAAATTCTTTGTAATTTGAGATTGTTGAAACTACCAAAAGGCTATGATTTTCATAATTTTTTTAATCTCTTCTCACACAAACACAATGTTCCATCATGAAAGTTCGAAGTGCATCATAATAATTAGTTTTTATTCTATTAGCTTGGCATTGTCTGCCAAATACAAAATCGATGCATTTAGACCTTAAAGTATGAATGCACGTATGCTTCGCACTTTCATCACTACGATGTGAATGGCTGCACGTTGTACTTGATTTGCAATTTAGATTTGAAGTATTGCTATCTCAATTATTCAATGCAGGAAGAACGCCATGTCCAAAATGCAAAACATTGCAGCAATAAGCTAGTCATTAATAAGCTAACATTTATTTCTACATTTATATCTGAATGCATGGTGACTACTATCAAGACAGGAACTACGGTAGTTATAAACTGGTCCTCCGTGGACCAGGTAGTTACCGGTATCCTTGTTATATTACAATTTTGCAGCAATGGATCCACTCTTGAATTGCTTAAACAAATGTTTTCTACTTTATGCGCATTTTACACCATTATGATTTGCGAGGAATAAAAATTCATAATTAAAAAATTGCAAAAGGAGTTCCACAAAGAGTTGTTGAGGAGTACAAGGTTGAGCTAGTTACAAGGTTTCCCAACCACCCTTTGGACAATTTGTTATAGATCGCCCATGTACCCCCAAAAATTGCATTCCTTGCTGTGTTTGAACAAAATAAGCCATGTGAACTGCGAACGTAAGACTCAGTAGTTACTGTAGTTAAAGCTTCTGAGGAAAAAATGTGACTTTCTTAAAGAGTTGCTGAACTAAGGTCTTCAAATTATTAACATCAGGTGATAATACATTTTAAAGCAGATTAGAAGTTATGTAAAGAATAAAACTCAATCTAATGTATTCTTGAAAAGTCGAAGAGTACTTCCAGGCTTCTGTTTGGGAACGCCTGCACTAGTACATTATTTAGATCTACCAACCTTCATTCCTTTGACAGTATTTTGATAAATAATTGGACGGAATTCGAGTAAATCTTCTTCATCATAATCCTTTCCATGAAGAATTCTCATCTGTTTTAGAAAAGTACTTTTCCCACTTTCGCCTGCACCCAGTAACAGTAATTTCACCTAAAAACAAATTGAACAAATAAGAATAGTTTATAATAATAAAACTCAGAATCTGGTAAAAACTTGAGGTACTTCAGTAACGTATAAGGCAGGGGTTCCCAAACTTTCATAGCCAGTGGCTTCCTTGCAAAGATTCTCAACACCGGTGGCCATCACCATTCTTGTAAATAAAAAAAACTAAAAGCCAACAAACAAAATATAATTACAAAACAGTCTCGGAATTGAACAAATTAATCGATTTATTCTATCGAAACATGATTATTGCAAATGATACTTGATGGAGGCCTTCTATCATGGCCCCCAAAACACTTCTCCGTAGTCTGACGGCCCACTTCAAGAAATCTTGGTATAAGGGATTTATTCAACAAAACTAACTCAGTCAGGGTGTAATACATTTCTAAAATGCACAGCCGGTAAGATCCCGTTCCAAATGGGAGTCTTCGCATGTGGTCCCCAGACAACTTTTCTGTATCCCCTTATGGGGGCCAGAGGACCCACTTCAAGGACCCCTGGTAAGTGATATATTCAACAAAACTAACTCAGTTAGGGTATAATAAATTGCTAATGCTCAGCTGGAAAGAATCCGGGCCTAATGGGGGTCTTCGCATGTGTCCCCCCAGACAACTTCTCTGTAGCCCCTTATGGGGGCCAGAGGACCCACTTTATGAACCCCTGGTAAGTGATATATTCAACAAAACTAACTCAGTCAGGGTATAATAAATTGCTAATGCTCAGCCGGAAAGAATCCGGGCCTTTCAAAAATATTATCACCTTACAAACCGCTATTAGTGGATTTGGAGTTAGTGGTAGTTTGGAGTAAAAGGCATGAAAAAATATAAAAAAAAAAGGCTGTCATATCATTTTGGAATATATTTATCCACAAAGTACTTTGCTTTATAGCGCATGATACGTATGACGGTTCCGCACGAATGGCAATTCAGCCAAATCTCTTTCACAACACAAACCACAATTAACAGCTCCTAAACAATCCCTTTAATCTCGCTAAATATAGGTATATGTGTAGTTTAGCAAAAACAGGGGGCAGTGGCAGGAAAAACAGCATGGAGGTGTTTACAAAAGTAGTCATATGAGTATATCTAAAAGAACATTATATGAGAAAAATGAAAATCAAAATTTTGAAAATTGAAAACAGATTTTTGATAAAAAAATTGCTAATTTAACAGCTAAATTATCCTATACTGCTTTCGCATTAGGAAAAAATATTGGATTCATTTCCATACCTGTCGTTTAAAATATAACTTTTCCTTTGCTAATTCCTTGTCAATTTGATTGCTTTTTGTGGTAGATGGATCACTAAAGAAGCAATTGAGGCCGCAACCAACCATGGTTGAACCGTTACCAACGGAGGTAACCGGCCAGTATACATTAATGAGACTACGTTAGTCTGAGAAGAAAATTGAAAATTATGAAAAAATTGATATATCTCCCTAGTTAACGGCAATGTGAGTATCTGTTTATAAGTTTAATTATTCTGGCCATTCACGCTTCATTTATCATTCAGTATATTACAGCCAGGTTGAAATTTTCAGAGATGAAGTAACTATTTGAAGCAATTTGTTATAATCAGTAGTAAATATTTTTGATTTCCTGCAGGATGGAATCTAAGTTTTCATTCATGTCGGAGTCAAGATTTCGAATTCCCAAATATAAATTCAAAAAGTTTCCCTCGATAATTGCATGTAGTACATACCTATTTATAGCTAATTCGATAGAAAGTTTTTAGTTCAATTAATTCAATAAAAATAAAAACATGCTCCAACTCCACAGATCAGATTTTATGTGAACATTTTTATGGCACGGTTCCATGCGATTATTTTAAAACAAAATGTATGAAAAAAGTGACATTTCTGTCACACGACCCAAATAAAAAATGACTTTCTAATTTAACAGTGAAATATACGATAAGTTTGATAGCATCCAACCAATGATTATCATAAGTATGATTGTCTAATATTATTAATGGTTGCTATATGAATACAAATTTTCCTCAATTTCAGGTCATTTTAAGATATAAATCAGTGGTTCCGCGAACCCTTGGAAGGAATATCTAGGGGGCCCCAAACGCTAGAGCCTTTAGTTTTTGCATTATAGGCTAACTTTGGCATGAGTTTTCTACACTTGTTCAAATCAAGACGAAAGCAAGGAAGAAACTTGATGTAATCACATAAGATAAATCAGTACTCTATTTTTTTTGCAAACGTGAGAAGTGGCAGCTACTTGAAATGTCATCTGAATGACTCTATGCTATGTTCTTCTATCGTGTTTTCGGTTTGCAAATTCTGGGGGTCCGCGAATACTTTAGAGAAGCATAGGGGGAAAATTTGGGGGATTACACGAATACTTCAACGAAGCATAGGGAATCGGTCCGAGGAACATGAAGTTTGGAGAACCACTGATGTAAATAATGAATACATTGACAGCTTGAAAAATATTATAGATCAGTGAATATCAAATTGGACAATATCGCCCTCGAAAGAGATACATTTGGTGGTTGGAATTTCGAATGGTGCGATAGCAGGACGGGAGCACATTCTTAAAATAGTCAGAATTATCATGAAACCAAAATAAACTATACAAAAGATTGATATATCATTTTGGTACCCATGGCGAATAACTGCTCATTTTTAATAAAGTGAAACCATTCATTCCTACATCTTATTTCTTAGAAAATTTTTTTTTCAGCTGTGATGATATTATTTTTAAAACAAAAAAAAATGGGGGCGGAGCGAAAGTACATAAAAGTTACAGCTGACCACTGATATAGACGAGTTCTGGAATCCTCGGAAATGATAAATCTAATACAGAATCAATTGCATAAAATTTAGTCTCATTCAGTTTAAATCGTTTTAAATGCCCTCATTCATTTTAGTATCTACGTAATTATGTCCTAAAAAACTGGTCCATCTACTATTAACTTGGAAATATAAAAATTTCACACATATTATTTTCATTCAAAAAAATGACTTCCATAAAAATCAAAACACATATGATTCAATATATTTATCCTAACTATTGAAACTTTGAGTAAAATATTACTCTCCTAACACTTCCAGTAAAAGCAAAAAAAACTGAGTAGGCAAACCTTCTCTCCGCTGCCGGATGGCGGTGTTTGCCCGCCACCCATCCAAAATAAGATCACTTAATTGTGTGAGTATTGGCAAATTCCGAATAGAATCCTTACATAACATTGTGAAAAAATAGCCATACTATATACATCCATTAAACAATTGTAGCTATCTGACATATGCTTTATTCAATCAGAGGATAACGATGCTGCTGCTACTTTTTTAAATTCAACTTGGGCATTTTTTTAATAATAACAATATAGTCTATAAATACATGCTCAACACAGCAACATGTGAATTTATAAGACTTTCTGGCATAGTTAGGGTTGTGAGGAAGCCACAGGTCATCATAATATTTCGCTAATGTGGTAAATAAATGTTCATAAATACAGAAATAAATATTGGTGTAAATATACACAGCTATAGGGTGGCTTACCCACTTTGCGGCCATGACCTATCTGCGACCATCAACTTCATCGATTAAATTAATGCCGAAAAAAATAACGAACCGCGCCGATATTTCTCACGCGTTACCGTCCACTTATCCCTCGTATCTCTGCTAAATTACACTAAAATGCGGCCACAAATAAAAAAGTTACGACCGAAAACCTGACCGAAGAAAAAAAACGGACCATTTTACCATGTCGCCAACTACCCATTGTTCCTTCAAAAAAGCTTGAAAATCCATACAAATATAAGAGATAAAGAGATGAAACTTGGCAGGTGGGTAGAGTTGTGTTTCTTTTAACCATCTTTAAAGTTTTGCGTTTCTATCTTCAAAGAAGGGGGAGTAGGGGGGTGCGCATTTCCAATACGTCAATAATATCTTTGGCAACTAATTTGCGACCACCGTGTTTTTGTCTGTTTGATTGCTGTGATGCAGTGCTTTGTTTATAATTTGAAGAATTTTGTTTGAAATAACCGTGTTCTTAAAATATATGACGGTCAGAAATGCAATTAGAAGCCCATTTTTTCATGCATGGCTGCGTATGCCCTAGTCTCGACGCAGCAGAAACGATGTTCAAGGCTTGAAATCCGTGATCGCACACTGGTCGTTCGGCCGCAAATACGTCTTCAGAGTGTCGTACTTTGGTGGTTTGTATAGCTTTAACCCCTGGTCGTAGGAAGTTAATTCGAAGTTCAGCGTGTAGAATAAATGCCAATGCACCTACGGTGAAAAAATTAACGGGTTAGAAATATTGGTTTTTGTTTAATAGCGGTTTGAATGAAATCGTCCGCAGACTGGCTACACCACCCTACCGGTATAGTATTATTTTTAAACAATTCTTCACAGTGCCGCAGTGTGCCATATTGGTGTCCTGGTGTCAGAGATATATAATGATTTATTTCGTATTAGTGTGTAGGCCTACCGAATGTATTATACCAAACCGAATTTTCAAAATAAACTACCAAATCTATTTAACATTGAAGTTCACATTGTAGAAACTGTAATAGCAATAGAAGTGAAATCAAATCTGAAGTGTATTTTTAAAAGGCATATGAAAATATGTTGAGAAACACCCATTAATGTACTAAAACAATGTACGATACCCTAAAATCAGAAATAAAACTTCACCATTCACGAAAAGTTCTCAGTTTGTTGACCTGATCAATCTGAGATTAGCAGAATACGTATAGGAATTCTTGAATTCACATGCTCTAAATACAAATCTACAGGACCATGAATTTGGTATCTATTTGTATGATGCAACACCCAACCTTCGCTTTTCCTATTATATCTAGAAACTCTTCAAAAAAACAACGACATAAACCATGGAAATCAAGCTGACCGCAACACAACGTAACGTAGCAAACAGAACTGCGCACACACCCTCCAAAACATAACGAGACAAAAACATATATACCACTAGAGGTCCTGATCTAAATTTTTGGAATTTTTTACATATACTGTATTGTAACAAAATTTGATTATTAAAAAATTCTGACATTGAGTACTACTTCATAAAACACAACATAGAAGTCAATAGAAACTATTGGGTTTGACCTGCATACAAATTCGCACTTGAATGTGAAAAGCGCTATTAACTTGTTGAGAGAAAACGAAAAAAAGTTTGTGTTGGTCATCGAAAGAAGAGAAGACTTGGACGAGAGGTGATGTAATTGTAAACAATAATCATGTTTTACGAAAATAGTGGGAAAAAGGGAAAGAGGAAAACAAAAGTTTACGAAATAGACTAAGCTAAAGCTATATTACGGTATTTGTTCCCTGTCGTTGTGCAGATGTCAGAAGCCTCTCTTCATTACGTACAGATACCGTAGGACTGAAAGGGTGGTTCCCCTTTGGTTCGAGAAGTTGTTTTCTGTGCGCTCATTCTGAAAGCAGGCAAGAGCATATTATTGGTGAGTGGATTAATGCAATTGGTTTGGTCAGTTGGTGGAGTGGTCCAATCAGAAACTTGGGTAGACTTGTTCAAAAATTATTACAATATTGCTAGTCTATTTGTCTAAGTCTGTGAATGTGTACCGTACTAAATATGACTAAGCAAATTATGTGTTTCATGATATTGTCATATGAAATGCCAGAAAGTGAACAATATATGCATTTTCTGTTAACTTCACTAATTTCTGGATTTTGTGCTAATATTCTTTACAATAAAATGTTGCAAAGACATTGTCGATTTCCATCCATGGCAAAGTGATTTTCGTGTGTTTTATCGATCAATATCTATGAAAAATATTTTGTCCTATGTCAGTATGTTTCAAAAGCCATCAATTTTAATCTTACTCACCCCCTGCTTAGACAATGAACCTGTAAATCTTTCTGATTTTATCCTTGCAAATTATCATTTCATTTTCATTTCTAGGCTAAAGCATTTCTTTTCTATACAGTTTGATCAATATCATGGAATCACAATGTCAAAATGCAGAAGAGTTTTTTCAGCATTTAAAATTGTCAAAATGCAATGACAATAACACACCATCAAATAAGAAATTACCAAGTGTTGTCATCAGAAAATATCCATTGACAAGATACCATCATAATGCATTGATAAATAGAAACAAGAGACCAAACATTGAGGCGCTTGGTAAGAAATAACAAATCAACTTTATTCATGCTAAAATGCTTTTGGGGACTTTAAATTAAGTACAATAGAAGAGAAAATGTACCTCAGTATTGTGCTATATACAGTACGACACAAGAAAAGCCCCACATTAGAAGACATCAATTATAACAGTGAGTGCAAGCCCAGCCTTTATGAAACAGTCTGGGCCTCCATATCAACATAAGTTGCATATAGGATAATATTGAATTCAAGGATAGCAGAAGGAAATAATATATAGTTATCATTCTATTTTCATCATTTCAAAATCTGTTTCAAACTGTTTTTATTATGAACAGGACAAGATGAATCTTTAAATAACACTAAATCTATAAACCCCAAAAAACGAAAGAAGTTAAGTCTTGCGGAAAAGATAAAATTGCTCAAGGAAAGTACACCGGAACTCAAGGAAAAGTAAGCTTTTATTGACATGAAAAATAGTTTTATTATTTTTTGTGCGACACAATCTGGTTTTTACTGAGCAATGCTCAAGTATATGGACACAAAAGTTAAATTCATTACCACAATGTCATCAAAGTGCTATGAGGATTGTATTAAATTTCATATGCAGGCGTGCCACGTGTCATATAAAAAGGTGTTTTGAAAATGAAAACAGAAAAATTTTGATTGAAATATTAGACCTTGGAGGAGTAGCCTTTTTGAGATTTCTTCCATCTTAGAATTGGTTAGTTCATTGGTTATAGATAAAAGTGATTTTTAACAACAACAAATTGGAAAATCAATCTATAGGTCCACATTGTGTAGAAAAAATTTATCATTTCATCTTTCTGATTTGAGGTTTTAGGAGGCCAATCTAAATTATTTTCGGAAGCAGTGCAATATCAGTGTAATTCTATTTTTTTTTTTTAGAGTTGGTGAGCCAAAAAAATTGAACTGTGATCTTTGTCAGATTGAATTTAATTCAAAACATGATTATGAAAAACACACATACACTGTGAAGCATATCTTTAAGACTGAGGTAAATTTTACAATTTTTTTTACATTGTGGCCAGTTAGGAACCTCATTTGAAGTTCTGGCAACTTTCCTGAATTCCCATCTTGTGTGTTTGTCTAATGTGTTTCGTGATTTTTTGTACCATATCAGAGTTCAAGATAAATTATCTATAAATATTTCAGTCAATTTTCAATATTGCTCTTATCAAGTAACACTTCCCATATCTAATGTACTTCGAAGCATTTGTCCTCAAATTTCTTATGTAGACAAACGATTCGTTTTATATATGACTACCATACTTGTTTATGAATGTGTCAGTGATTAGCGGAGCATATTAACAACATATACCTGAATTTCTAGATGGAGATTGGGACCGATCAGAATGCTCTATCAAAGGAAAAGGAAGTCTTGAAAACCCAAACAAATACCTATAAATGTATATATAGTCCCTGTTGTGCAGAATTTGATAAATTAGAAAAATTTCTACGTCATCACAGAGAACATACTGGTGTTTGTCCTTACCTATGTACAAGATGCAAATCCAAGTTTAAAGTAAAGTCTGATCTGGCAAGTCATTTAAAGAGACATCTTGGTAAGATTAACGGATAGGATATTCATATTCGTCTCAGGGGAATCGAAATGCTTTAAAATGGCCTAATTATATGCCGAACCTTAGCCTCTAGTCTGGTTACCAGTTCATGTTGAGTATGGGTAAATTTAACAGAGGAAGCAGAACCTAACATCATATGAGAGTTCATCAACTTCTCGGTCCTCATCAGTCTTCTTAATTATTTTCTGTGGGATTCAAATCTATTCAGGGTAATCATAGATGGGGTGATAAGCGAGTTCCTAACACTTGAACTGTTGAAATGTTAACTTTAGCTAGCCTTATGATTGTTTTTTATCATGACTATATTAAGGTAACCTCTATAAACTATATATCATTCATATTCTAGGTATGAAAAATATATCGTGTGATCACTGTGATATGACATTCACCAAAACACGATGTCTTGTTCAACACCTAATCACAAAGCATGGTGAGAAAGACATAAGGTCAAGGAATTTCAAATGCACTGTAAGTTTTGAAGCAAACCTTGTTGAAGTTATGCATGTGTTGCTTTATGGTAACATAGGCACTGCGTTTTATGAAGGCATTTATTGGCTCATATCTTTTTTTAATCTTAGGAATGTGGCGAGGCTTTCTTATCTAAAGCTGCTGTTGATCGGCATATGAGGTGGCATACAGGATATAGACCAGAGACTTGCCATGAATGTGGAATGAGTTTTCACACCAGATTTGATTTGAATGACCATCTTAGGATACATTCAGGTACTTTTACATCAATATTGCAATTGTATTCATACTGGAAGTAGTTCTAACTGAAGTTTCTCAATTTTCTATTTGAAAGCTGAATATGATGCTTCATGTATGTTTTATCTGAAGCTATTTACATTGATTAGTTCTCTCCAATTCTGAAAAGGACTTAACATATTGTAACTCATTTAGGGGAAAAACCGTACAAATGTGAAGATTGTGAGTACAAAGCAAGAACAGCACAACTGCTAAAACGACATAGGAAGTAAGGAATGACTTTCTTTATCTACTCTCTATTTTTACACGAGTATGCATTTGTTTGGCAATCTGACTTAGTTAGTTCAAGATTTGATCTAAACTTTAATATAATAATAATTGCAGAATACACACTCTAGAGAAACCATTTACATGCAAAGAATGTGACTTCAAATGCAGCAGCTCAAGTTCACTCAAAAGACATACATTGATACACTCTGGCAAGAAGCCATACAAATGTCCATATTGTTCTCACAGGTAGCTTCAATTGTTAATGATATTATGATAAATTTTCAGGTTGGTATGTATTGTATATAATCTCGATGGTACTTAACCCTTACGTACCCACGACAAAACTCGCTAGATTGCGGCGGGTACGTTGATGTACTCCACTGTTTTATTTAGCAATCGGTCGCAAACTGTTGGTCTAGTTTTTCCGGATTTTAGTTTATTGATAAGAAGTCTTTTTCGAGATTAACATAAGCGACGGTAAATCTCGCTTTCGTTTACCATGGGAATTTTATTTGCGGCGGAACGAGGGAGTGTTTTTTGGGTGGTAATAGAACCCATATTATCCCTTCCATCTACCAAAGTATTTTGAGTTAGATAACGAAATTGCTACAGCAATTTTATGCTATTGTTTGCCAACCAAGAAGCGGTAACAGTAAAGGATTTAGCGAATAATTCTATTTTTTATCACGGTTTGAAGTTTCAACACCCAAGAAAAAAAAATGCCTTTTTTCTATCCGGTTTGCGACTCAGACCACCCCTTTTAAAAAAAAAATTTTTTTAATCGCCAATTGCAAGCTCTTTAAATAAGCTGTCCAACGAGCCGTCAGTGGGCAGCAGAGGATCATTACTTTTTCGTTAGTCGATCGATTAGTTGTGGGGGTACAAATGCATAAAATTGGTGTAGCAAATACGATTATTTAATAAAAAATAAAAATCGCATGGAAAGGGTTAACCAACTTACAATATTTGTCTAGCGCAGTGGTTCTCAACATGTGAAGCGTTCTGTTCTTCTATATATATATACTTAGTTTTAGCTTTTGACCGTTTTCATCAGTTATTTTATTTGCCGCATTTTATATTAAAAAGCTGACAAATGAAAGTACAAGGATGAATGCATTACAATCTAAGAAATCAAAGTCGATTTACTTTAAATGAATGTAGTTGTTGTCCTCATGAACGCCCAGAGAACCGTTTTGTAATCTTAATCTAGTCTTGATTATCATAGTATGGCAACTTGTCATTCTTTTACAAGTCAACATCATAGCATACACCACTGACTGAAATATTCTGTTCCAAAATTTCTCAGGAGTGCCAACATAGAGAATTTACGAAAGCATATAAAGAAAGTAGCAAAACATAAGGGATTGAAAATTTATCCATGTTCACACTGTCCTGCACTGGAGTTCTCCACAGACGATGGTGCTGAATTTCTTTTGCATATGAAGCAGGTGACTTATTGAGCTATTAAGAATTATTTATTGTCAGGATTGAAATAATGGCAACAGCACTTTCTTATCTGATATATGAAGCATACAATTATATCAAATACAATACTTTGTTAGTAAAATTGTAGCTGACATAATGTGAACATTTTGATTTCCCAATATCATTTTAGGGCATAGTCTGCTGCATTTGATACAGAAGTATTCTTGAAGATAACAAAATTGTATGCAATATTTGTAATACTTCTTCTATTCTTATTTGCTATACTTATCATGATTTAAAACGAAGCAGTATCTTCAATTTATCTATTGATTAAGTTATAATGTAGTGTAGGGTCATCAAACTCAAATTGCATCTTTAAAGTTACAGCCTAATTAACTTTCATAGTTGATATAACATTAGTTTGGGCTTTCCTCAAAGAGTGATCTCATATATTTTACAGTACCATTTTCCAAATCTTGATCTGAAGTCCGTTACCGCAACAAAGCTATCAGGAATACAAATAGATGATGTCAATCAGGAAGCAGAATCAGAAAATGAAGATGAAATTACTGGTGTACAAGGTCGTACAGTTTTCGATAGGTCGTCGGACTCACTTTTGCAAGACAGTGGTCTGAGTCAAGAAGCCCTTGCCAATATGCAACCGTCAAGTCTGTTGCCAGAACTTGGACTGAGGTCAACATTAGAAACATTGAATGAATCTGATTTGAGATGTTTGGACCCGCAGATGACAAATAAAGGAGATGTCTTCTTGTCATCAATGGCACCTATTGATAATAATGATCTTCGTAAGCGAGGTAGGTTCAATCGTAATATACATACGTTTTTTTATGTTATGGAAAAGGGGAAATAATATTAAAGAAATGAGAGTTTCAAACTGGCGTTTCATTTTTGCTACCTTGGACCCCCATATAACATCAAACCAACTGCAGTTTCGCGCCAACGTGACTCAAAACCCTGATACAAAGGCTTAAATTTTAAAAATGAAACTCTTCATTTTACAGGGTTACCTTGGATTAGAATTTTAAATTAATATTAAAAATTTCTAATGTGAAAAATAATGAGATGGTTAGGAGCTGGAGTCACTAAGATTTCTGGAGAGAGCTCCGGCTCCCAAGTCCTGCCTAAATGATGCATTAAATTGATACTTCGGTGCAATTTTGGTGAATGTACCTCGTATTTCCAGAAATCCTTGTACACTCTTTTTAAACTAGTGATGTTGGTTTTCAGGTCCTTTTGAAGCAGAAAATACAGTGTCTGAAACTTTATCTGGGAGTTCCATGACAACGCCAAGCCAAGAAAACGGAACTGCAAATCCAGAAATAAATCTGAACCAAGGATACTTGGCTCTACTTGTCAAATGGCCGAGTAATCAGAACGTTGAAGTACAGCAAGGTCCGGTCGAAGGATGTAGCTCTGGAGTGCCATTAACATTAGTTGTAAATAGTAGCCCAATGTTTTTAAGCGCACTGGACAATACTCCAGCTGAGCCACAACCTGATAATTCTAATAATGTCCAGGCTGGAAATGGAAGAACAACATATACTATATCACATAATGGGCTATGTCTTACTGATGGAAGCAGAACAGCAAAACCAGATTCTGCTTTGAAGACTTTACAACCAGTTACATTTGATCCTATTCCTACTGAAAAAAATGTTAATACTTCAGCAAGTCCACAAATTTCTGAAACACCTAAAAATACCTTCATGACAAAATCTTCAATTCATGTTCCAAATCAACCGCCTAATATACTGACCGTGAGTCCAGAGAAAGTCAATGAAACTTGAAGTGGTTATAATTGTGTAACTCGATCTGTGCATGTGCAATATTGTTATTTATTTATCTTCAGTCTGTGGTATCTGAATATGTACAGAGCGAAATTGCAATCAAGCCAATTGGTTGAATATCAGAACACAAAAAATCAGTGCTGAGAAAATTGTGGTATTGTGTTAGCTGAGTATTTCAGCACTTCTATTCTGAGTAATCACTTAGGCAACTCAAAAGAATGCTTTTACGATCCATACTGCGTGGACATAGATTAGCTCTTATTCTGGAATAAAAAGTTTTATCACAGCGAGATTGAAGTCATATATATGTTCATGGAAGGTTAAAAATTGGAATTTGTGTAAAAAATTTTAAATTGACAAGTCAGCCCTCCAGGTCAGGGGTTCTCCATTTGTGGGGAATTGACGTTTTGCTATTGGGGTACAACATAAAGAAAGTGCCGCTATTACTTAAGATTTTGATGAAGCTCATTGTAAACATTTGTAAAGGCAAACCCACCGCTTTTCGTGTGACCAGTGATCAACAGCTCTTTTGCTTCACAACAAAAGCTGTCTAAACATTTCCACATGAGTACCTACTGGAAAATCTTTTTAACAAGGTTTAAGGCTTTATGAATGGAAGAGTGGGAGATGAATGTAATTGACTACGGTAGTATACATACTGTATGTAAATAAATAAACATAATTCACAGCACTATTTCGACAAATAATAGTAGTTTAACCAGCGGATGGGTGATAAACCAATCATCTTCTACAAAATTCGCTTCCACGCCAACAAGTGAGCCCATACTGAAGGACCTTACCAAATTTTATTTAAGACTTCGGTATGTGGGAAATCAGAAGTGGTTTGAGAAGCAGACACCCATTCTGAAAATATGCCTTGTCTCAGTCGTGTCTATGTTTCTGCCGTTTTTTAAATTAGTCGAGAGTAGTTTTCAAAAAAAGCAAGCTGGGAGTAAAAATAACATTTATTCACAAAATAAAATATAAATCTATACCGGAATATGTCTAGATATCGTTGAATGAACAGCGGAACGATGCCATGATCTCACGTTTTGTGGTTTGAATAGCGACGTCTGGGCAAGCATTCCTGCATTGTGTGGTTTGTGCCGGTAACATGTTTTTGACTTCAGATGTATCCGATTTGATGATAGTGCCAGATAGAAGCCGCATTTTAACACATGGCAATTATACACACATATCCACTGTAGATACATTTTCTTGATATCAATACGCACTGTCCAACTTTTAAATCTTTTGTAAGAGAAACGAACGACAACTTTCTCAAATAACTAGTGCCTTTATCAAAAATATCATTCACTACACGATTCTTTGCCTTCTTCGTCCTTGATAACAACCCTGTATGCTTTAAAGTTAGTTGATGCTGCGAGCTTTCTAGCTTCATCAAGTTGACCGGCTTCTTCCAACTTCTGGATCTTTTTTAAAACTTTTCCCTCAGTAATGAGAGGACGTAATGCAATATAAGTTGAGAAACATGCAAATCCAGCCATAATGCCCATCATTACTCTTTGATCAAGCATGGTTTAGTATTAATTAATAATTGGAAACCATGACAGTAATTAAATACTGTAGAAATAATTTAATCAAATAGGTGACATGAGAACAGAACTGTCAATCCTAAAGCCAAGATTTATATACCGGTAAGTGGGAAGATGTAAATCTGAATCGAATTGAGAAATGCGTAAACATGTTTTTGTTGTTCCCTATGTTAATATTCAAATTCTATGAAAATTGTGGTCTCCATGCTGAGATGAATTCCCAGCAAGGCTTCAGAACTACGGTAAATACATAATGAATATATTATCATAAAATCAATTCATAGTATATTTTTATTATTATACACCATTAGTACAATTATCATTACTCTAGCCAGATCGCCAAAAACAAATATTGTACTATTCAGAATACATGTTATCAAATATGTTCTGAATTGCGTCAACACATAAAGGTTGGTCTGTGTTTGTATTTGAAGATAAACAGGATTTTGGGTGGTTTTTCCTTTTTTATTCTTTCCGAGACCTCAATTATAATTTTTCAAGTAAAACTATTCCAAATTATACTTGAAATCAAGAATTGGTTGATGACATATGCCAGTCACTTCGATTTATTTTAGCCAATTACAGAGTTGTGACCCATTAAATGAGTCACAACTCTGATTGCAGGGTGGCGTTGTGCACATATTATTATTTTGTCCATGAGACGAATGCTCAAATATATATAGACACAAAGGTGGTACTGATATGGTAATATACCTTTTGAGCCACACTCAGTAAGATCACTTTTTGAAAAACACACATGGGCCAAAGATACTGAACAGTGGCCAGAGAAAATTTGCAAACAAATGAAAGTAATGCCCTCTCAAAACCATAACCATCTTTTTTTGTCCCAACAATAGTACAATGCAATCTACATATCTCGTTTATGTCAAATAGTAAAAGTCTCCAAATGATAATATATTAATCTTTCTATATTAATTCATTACCAAATTACGAGCGTGAGATATTCATATACCACAAAAATTTTATCATATCATGGTAGTGTTATTAACATATGTACTCTCATGAATGGATAAAACGCTAGTATGTTAATTAAATGTCACTAAAACATGGTTGAATAAGTCTTTATCCAGTCTTCATTACGGACTTAAACTATTGCCTGGCTCAGGCTCCTCCAATGCAAAAATACCTTTGAATGAATTTTCGTTCAATTTTTATCATGGTGAGTCAGACTTGCTTGATTTTTTATGTTTTGGTTTTTTCTTTAAAAATTTCAATTCTTTATGTTTATATTCCTTTGCTTTTGCATCTTTTTTCTTTTCTTAGTTTTGTGTTGATGTTGTTTATCATCATCATCAGAAATGTCTAATTTCTCTCTTTTTATGGGAATTAGAGGCATTTTCTTTACTTCTGCTCTGGGCTTCTCTTCATATTGTGGGGGTTTCTTTCTCTCTTGCGGTGATGGTATATCAGGATAATGTACCTTTGGAGCAACACCCTCCTCTCTCATTTGACGAGTCAATTCATCCACGTCATCGTCATCTTTCGGGGGTTTATAATTGAGTACATGATCCACTTTAATTTGTCTTCCCTTAATTTTTGCACCATTCAAATTGTCGACAGCTAAGATAGTACTTCTTTGATCCTGGTAACATAAGAAAGCAAATCCTTTTGATTTTCCAGTCTTTTTATCTCGTATCATATTAATATTTACAATTTCACCATACTGTGAAAATACACATATAACATCACCTTCAGATAGTTCAAATGGTAATCCACCCGTATAGATCCAAGCGCTGTCTTTGTATTGTTCATGCCATGATGCTTTCGTCCCGGTTATACCAAGTCTTAGTTCACGATCATTCAAATCATTTAGGAGTCTTATCTTTGTTAAAATATTCATAATCTATGATAAGAAGCTTAAATAAGATTATATAACAACAAACAGGATTGAATGATAAATGGACTTTATTATGGAATAAATGCAATGGAATCAGGAATATTGATTTTCAAAGGAAATATGTAGCACTTGTCATATTATTAAAAAAAAATCAATTTCACAAAAGGCAATGCTCAAATATATGGACACAAAGGCCAAAGCGAAGTAGTATGACTATCTAATCTTTCACAGTACCGATACGATATTGTGGTCTCACCCACTGCAACTGACTACCATATCGCAGCGATAGTAAATGCGGCAACGTGCGCAAGTTTTTAATTTTGATGATGTCATCAACCCCGGAAAAAACGAATCCAAACAGCCCACAGAAACTTTCAGAATGAATTAAAGTAATAGCCTTCTAGCTACAACAACAATCATTAACCACTGAAAATTTCAAAGCAATTGGTCAAGTAGTTGAAGAGAAAAGCGATTTTTCGCTTCAGAAAAGTTTTTGTTAAATGAGATTTTGATATATTTGAACTTAATTACCGGTAAGTCACATTCAGCATCTTTGTGATCATACACATGGCTCTAATAGAGTTGGTACACAGAGAGAAATTTGATTGTTGAAGTCATATCATAAAACAATATAATTTGTGAATGAAGCAAGACGCAATAAGAAAAAATGTGCAATTAAGGAAATTATATTTACGGCCGTATTAACCCAAGTAAGTACCCAAAATTATTAACACTTTAAATAATTTCTATTGCACTCATAACTTCCCTTTCATATCACAACCAGAAATATTCAATTTAGCCATATAACAAACAATGGAAAAAAGCTGAATGATAGCAATATCAAACTTTAAAAGACTACCTAATTAAATATATTTTCCCATTATTTAATCATCAATATTGGTAAATTTTGCTTGAAAACCTAGCTCAACGTTATTGCCTTATTTTGCATCTCTGCCTAGCGCCCTGCCAATCAGGTGTACTGTTGGGTTAAGTAATTTTCAAAGGTATACTACAAGAGATGTCGCTGTCCAAAAAATTGTACCCTTCTTGAAAAAGGCTGGGAAGTAATTTTAGAGTTTTTCTCATAAAATGGATTCATAATATGTTTGATAAAAACTTCGTAAACGTCTGTAAAAAAGTTCTTGATGCCTTCTTCATTTCTTAGTTCGTGTAAAAGAAGAAATCTCATCCCACTTGCTGTTACAAACGCAGAAACATACCAATCGTTAAATTTATCAACAGTTTTAAGATACATGTTATTGCTTCGCCACATGTGTTCGTCCACCAAATCTAAAGCGGCATGAGCGATAAACTGGTTCAAATGGCCATGTTCATCCTTTTTTGTACCAGCAGTCTTTGGTGATGTTATATCAGCTTCGAAGACGGGGTTATCACGATGGCCGACAATCACGAAATAATAACTTCCAGGCATTATTTATTAAATTAATGAATACAAATCTAACATGATAAAATAACAAGAGTTGTCATTAGTTGCCAGCATATACAAGCACAACAAACAGTATATACATTTATGTATATAATATAGTTAATTTGATAGAAAAATGAACTTCGATGAATCAAATGACAGTATTTTGTCAAACTATACCGATCATACGGACCGGGTTAGTAAACTATACATCAAGTTATAAATCATGGGTATTTTATAATAGCCCAAATTGTGTTGTTATGTCATAATGTAAGAACTGTTAGAAGAATCCAGTCTCCGTTTACATGAAATTATTACAATTCCACAAATGTGTTATTTAAAGGAGTACAAGAAGTTATTGATTTTTTTTATTTAAAATTTACTGTTTTGTAAAAGCGAAATTACAAACTATGACCAATTTTAATGCATGTTGTTTTTCCACAAGAAAAATCCATTTCAAATACAAAAAAATTTTCAGGGTCAGACTGAGCCATCCTAGAGTTATTTATTCATAACGTTCCTGACAACAGATTACAAAATAATCCAAAATTATAATAAAGTGAGATATATTTAATATTAACGCTTTTGGAGGACTGTGAAACACTACTAATATATAAAGCAAACTTCAAACTCTCAATTTCAGTAAATAATGTACACACAAAAAAATGGAAATTGATGAAATAGGTAAGAGCAAAAAAAATCATTGAATAATGACATGAAATGCAGTGAATATTACTAGCAATTACCATCACCAAGAAGAACTCTCAATGGAGCAAAAGACAACAGCAAAAACGATTTTTTTTATACAATTAAAACATGGAGTCTTTAACTCTATCTTAAACTGAAAATATAAACAGCACTGATAAAAATAGTTACAAACATTGACCTACTAAGATCAATATATAGATTTGTCTTCCTATCAGTCAATTTTTGGGCATGTTACAATATCAAGAGAATATGATATCACTTGAGGGTGAATAGTTATACCCTAAAATTACAGTAGTTTTATGACCCTTTTTAAACCATGCATGCCAATTATATAGTGAGAAGTTGAACTTTTGCTTTACTACAAAGTGACTATCAGAACTACAGTCAAAAAAAGAACAGTAACATAAATGCTTTTCAAAGCTGTTCTACAATTCCTTATTTACAAACATAAATTGCTAAATACAATAATCACAACAGTGACAAAAGAGACTACAATATGGATTGATTCAGAACTAAGCTCCCTAACTCCTTCTAACAAAAAAGATTAGTAACAGTAGAAGACAATTGAAATTCTATAGTTAACAATTCTGAATACAGATGGGACACAACCCAAAATGTGCGATGAAGGCCATACCATACATTACATGCTTCTCGTATATTGGACTCGTGTGTGAAATAAACACAGAAATATTTCAATTCGGTGAAGCAAGTAAAAAATTTACATACTGATATAGTGCTCTTATGTTTTATGACCAGTTTAACCCTCAAATTTATTTCAGAGTTTTTTAAAGAGATAAGGGTTTCTCATAACACAGAATTCATCCTAGTCCTAATTGAAAAGAACAATTCCATAGTATGGTAATAAAAGAACATATATACTTCCAATTCTAATAATAATATCAACATTTTATTCATAATCTGATAGTCATTACAACCTTGTTTCAAAATATATTGGTTAAACTTGTGTCTATAGGCTATAGAACCTTGAATATCTGTTTTGAATGTACTGGTAATTAAATTATCAACAATACTCATTTAACAGGAACCTATAATGCATTGATCGAGTCAAAAAACACACATTCCAAATAGTTTATCAATAAATTTGGAAGATAATTAAACAGTTTCGATATTTTTCACTAAGAGCAAGAATGCACAAAATACGAGACACAACATAACAGAAAAAAAATCCAATGAAAACTTAAAAGTAAATAATTATATTTTTTGATAATGACATTAACTTGAAATCAATATTTTTGTTTTTATGTCGAGTGGATTGGATTATTATTTAATAAATATGCATTGAAAATAAAGATAGTAGGATTTTCAAATTTATCCAGGGGATAGAAAAGCTGACAAGACAGACTCTGATTCGGTTACCGTTCCATGTCGGGTGTGGAACTACGTCTAAAGTCCAGAAACAAAAATAGCATGTTGGTATTCGGTGAAAACAAACAATACATTTCTAACAGTCACTAGCTTGATGAATATTGAGTGATCAGGGACAGACAAAAATAATACAAAAAAGAAGAACTCAAGAAAGATCCATTATTGAATTGCGCAACACCATGAGTTAGTTTTCTTGGCTTGTTTATAAAACATTTTTGATTGCATGCTAAGGTTATCCGATTTGGTGACTAAATCATCGAGCTTTTCTCCTCTCTGTAACAACGATTCCATTGTATCATGTAAAATAATCTTCGTCTCATCCAATTCATTTTGTACTCTTAACATTGCATCGGCTTGCTTTGGGTCTTGATATTTAGCCAACCAATTTGGGAGTTCTTCATATTGTATAGGAACACTAGGGGCCCCAGAACAATCTCTTATCGGTACTTTCGATTTAAAATCTTCACACAACTTCGACATGAGATTGAATACAACACGGCGAGGGTAATCGTGATCAGTTATTACTACAGCACCTAGGCGTTCCTCCGTTATATATACATGGCACATATAGTTCTGTTCTTTTACTGATTGTCTTTGATTAATTTGGGTTCTTTCAGCACATATTTGAGTTGTAAACTTCAAGAACTCAGCAACACTTGATCTTTGAAAGAATCCAAATTCTGTCACATCGTTTGCAGCTTTGAGTATGTTAACTTTTGATGGTGCTTTAAAGATGACGGATATAGAATATAACTTTACCATGATGCTTTTTCAAAGACAATATACAGATATATATAACTGTAAAAGACAATATTGATATAAATCATGAGTCCGATTAGGTCCAATTATAACAGATAAGGTAACAAAGTATATCAAAAATTATAATATTTCTGGATTCTGTAATTAAAAATCATCAAAATACATTTTTACTAAGCAAAATTTATAATAAGAAAAATTTCGCAAATCATATGCTACTTCTGCTGCTTCAGACTGTTAGAGGTAGGCTACCAGGTGGAAAAAATAATACCAGAATACAGTATTAACTTGCAATACCAAAAAAATATATCCAACCAATGAAAGCTCAGATATTATTTATTGTCATTGTTGATAACTCAATTATAATGCTATTATATAGGTACCGTTAGTCCTGTAGCTGTAGTCAGACTACCATGCCATACAGAAACATACCGGTACGGGACACGCTTATTCCAGTATTCTGTTTATATATACCAGACAGGTAGACTACCGATACGACCACTCAACGTCCTTTGTACAACCACTGACTGTAAAGCCTTACGGCATTATCGGCAGAAAATACAAAAATGGGGTCATAACAATAGACCAAACCTGAAAACCTTCTGGGGTTTTTGAGGGTACTTACTATTTCACAAGACATAAAAAGTCCACCACTGCTGCGTTTCCGTCGTCAGGATCATATGAGAATGAGTATAGGAAACCAGCAACAACAAAGCTTTATGCAAGTACCGGTACTATCGGTTTCGAGTTAAAGAATTCCTACTTCAGCTCCGAACCCCCGAAGAAATCAAGTTTTGATAATATAAAAATATTACCAGTTACTTAACTTTTCTTAGAGAACCAGGTATATATGGGCTTTGTAGAGAACAATCTAAAATTCCGACTCCGGTTATTCTCAAATTGTCCTAGGTTTTAGTTGGCAAAATCCTGGTATATTTGACTCCGTTAGATGGAAGTAGAGGTGAGCAATAATTACAAATCAAGTACGTACTCTTGCGAACATGTGCGCCATATGCCGATATGCCATTTTGTCAACTAGCTGACTAGTGGTTTCGAACTTGCAGGGCCAAGCTAATAAGTGGAATCTTTATGCAGTATGTCAGTAATTATATTAAAGTAAACTATCTTTGTTTATATCGGAACATTAGCTGTGAATCAAAATAAATTATACATTTAATACAGCAATATGCTAAAGCGAGAGATGGCAAGATGGAGCAAGAACTTAAAAAAACTTACTGACTTGTTATACAGTTATAGGAATGAACGATTGTCTCATCTTGCATAACCAATGCAAATCTGTCAAGTTTAAATCAAACTTTAACAAGGAATTCATTTAGAGATTTGAGCTTTTGGAGTTAACGATTCATGCAATTTTTTGTGCTCAACTTTGGATAATTGGTCACAATTTGACAATATAACGTAAATTGATGCTTCAACAATATCAGATTATATCTCTTGACATATCATTAGATAACAACGTATGCTTATACAGCCATACAGGGCCTTTGTTCGGAGGAAAAGGCATGAATAAGCATTGTCTGATTGTATAAATAATAAATCAGTAAATATATATTTCACTACTCTACAGTTTTTATATTAGTCTAGGTCAGGTCTGCACAACATACGGCCCGCTACATACTTCTGTGCGGCCCGTGGGTGATTTGGAAACACGCCACTTCTTGAGTCTAACAGTCAAAGCCGGCATTGTTATTTATGCAAGCGCGCCGCTACCCCGATCATATTCGAAATCGTGAGATTTATGTTTTGCACTAGTTTCAATAAATATCGAACCTTGTGTGAAATTTGTGTGCCCCTGCGACCCCGAAAATACGTCGCTTGACCTCTCGAGTGTTTGGGAAACGCTGATTCAGATATCTCGGTATTCAAACTGAATCACGCTTAAAACAATATCGGTATACAATCTCACACCCATTAGTGCATATTAGCAACCTATTAATATCCCCACTATTTTTTACTAGCAGTTTATGAAACTGAAGTTTCTGATTCAAATTTCGAACTTAAAAAACAATTCCTTTATTTATGAATGGTGCAGAAATTCTCGCACAAAAGATATTGCTATTTACTGTAAAATTTCAAAAAATTGGAGCAGATTTTGTAGAAAAATGTAATTTAACAGTTGAAAAAGTACAACAGAGGAAGATAAGACGGCTTATCCGTATGGCGAACCAAGGCCTCTCGTCCGGTTACCATTCCAAGTTGGGTATGGGATTAGTTATATTGTTTTCGGAATCATGGACTTGGTGGTGGAGGAAGCCGTAACCGAACAGCGGTTACGTGAACCACCAAACGACGACGAGGAGTCCAGCAATCCTCTCGCACATAACCATCCCTGCATGGGATTCGAACCTGCGAACCAACGCAGAGTAATTAGAGGTGCGGTGGCGAGCGTATTTCTAACGCTTAGCCCGTGTTGGAGTGGAAGTGGTGACTCCTCTGCGGCCCATGGGCCGGGGCCACGGCCCATCGAATTGGGCCTCGGCCCATCAGGCCCATCAAGTTGTGTAAAGGGACTATTCACTTGGCTAACACAGACAGTCCCCGAACTCATAATAGAACTATAATGTAAAAAATCTGAATTTTTTTTGTCCTAACCCTAACCTGGTACACATACTACAGGAGTATATTTTTTTGTTCGAATATTGACAGTTTTGTAAAAATTGAAAATTTTGGTAAGATAATTGTAATTTTTCCTGATGGGGCCGCGGCCCATAGCTTGATGGGCCACGGCCCATGTGGCCCAATTAGATGGGCCGTGGCCCCGGCCCATGGGCCGTAGAGGAGTCACCACTCCTGTAGCCGTGTTGGGACGATTTTACAAAACTGAACATGAATAAAATATTTTCCCGCAGTCAGTTTATACTGCAACACGCAATACCTAATTCTAATAAAAAAGAAATATTGAAAGTGAAGGGTGGGTTTCCAAGGTATAGATGAACCACTAAATACATATTTGCCATCTCATATGCAAGAATACTGTACCTTGTTTTTACTCAAGAAAATAAGATTATTCATATTTTTAAGCTCCCAGTAATGGAAGTGTTTCAGTAAATTTAACTGTTTCACAATATTATTTTGATTTGTAGTTCATCTTGTGAAATATGTATGTGGCAAAGTTTGCGGCCCACCGAGCCTTCAGATTTATGCTTGCGGCCCTCGTGGTAATTTGAGTTGTGCAGGCCTGGTCTAGGTCTATATAATATATGTTATGTTTTGTCCGCTTTTTATTAATAGTTTCATAATAATTATTGTGATATTTCTAATAATTTGTTCAATCACTTTGTATATTAACATACAGACATATATTTATGTTGGTCCAATGAGCACAACTAGAAATGAGCATGCTTTCAAGAAAGTGGTTTAAGGCTTTGCATACTAGATTACTTTTGGTAAATGGATTCCATACTACTGCAACAAACAATAAAGTGCAAGCAGGAAGAGTAAAGGGTTCCAAATTTAAAAATAAACCTGTAACATATGAAGAAGCTTTTAAACCTGAATATATTCAACATAGAAAAGGATGGTTATCATTCAATACAAGCAATCTTCACGGAGAGAGAAATGCTCACCAGATGGCGTACGAGGATCTTTTTATTCGACAATTTCTCAGCGGAACATTTCACAGACTAACTTTGTCAGAAGTGATTATTAAGCGACGTTTGAATATTTTAGAAATAATAGTTTTTGTGCAACAAATGCGCCCTCTAATGACATTTCAGCATCATGCTACATATGCCGAGGGAATTTTGTCGACTATTTTTGATTATAATGTTAGAATCCATTTATACATGAGTAGCAAGGAGAAAATGACTTATAAATATGTTTAAAAATTTATTCATCTGTTTTTCATTTTTCATGTCATAAATGTCATTTTCATGTCATTTTTCAGGTTCGTGCTCATCAATAGAAATACCATCGATTCTTTTATGCGCCGCGTTTAGTAATTAAAAAGCCAGCGAATTGCTTTATAGTCAAATAATAAAAAAAATCACATTCTTTACTTCGAATCAATACGGTCATCATGAATGATACCTAGTTTGCGCCTTTGCTTGTAGCACCCAAAAAACGCTCCATTGCCCCTCAGAGATAAGGGAGGACAAATAACTAGTATGAAAAGTTCTATATCATTTGGTTCATTTTAATGCATTTCACATATGTAAAATATTGTATGTTCTGAAACGATTACATAAAATTTTAAAGTGAAATTAATCCTAAAGATTAATGCTACTCCCTAGCAAGAAGTCTGATAATCGAAGCCATTTCTATATCATGACTGCAACAATATCATGTGCTTGATAAATTTTACTTTCGTAGAACGTGGAATATATCATGATTTGTTGCACATTCAATGGGTGTACCGTGTACATTATTACTATAACGGGGATATGAAAAAATTAGGTTTAATGGTTATTCGGTGCTCCAGAAGTATGTGTACCAAGATGGAGGTAACTACCGTAAATTTGTTCGCCTATTTTACATCAAGTTGTGTGAAGAGACTGAAACCTATAGGCATGGGGATTATTCACATGGCTATCACAGACAGTCTCGAACTCGTAATAGAACTAAAATAAGGAAAATCGAAATAAAATTATGGCCTAACCTGGTACACACACTACGGGAGTACCCAATATTCTGGTTGACTTGTGAAATAATATGTATGATACTTTCGATTGTAAACTATTTAATATAGTATACGTTTTCCTCTTGTTTTTAGTGCTTGTATCATAGATATATAAATATTCATAAATGTTGCAATCATGCCAACAGTAACAAATGCAGAGATTACAAATTTAACTTCGAAACGTAAAGGCTCGACATTTCTTGGTTGGGCCAAAGATCCTGATTCAGACTTTGTTGTCTTGGCGTTCAACTCCAGTCTTAGTTCAGTTCAGGTAAAATGAAAATTTTGAATTTGAATAACCGGTACTACTTCATTCTGACAATTTTGGGCATTGGCCTTGATTTAGCTGATCAGATTTTTTTCAAATTTTCAATTACTAATATTGGATTGAAAAGTTCAATTTGTATGATTGCAAGTTTAAATTTAAAACTTGAAAACTATATCATGATACCCACTGCTGGGAAACTGCTTTTAGCTTGATATTTTTTGTAAGCTATGGTGCTATCGTGATTTCAAACCAGTTCCCCAGCCTTGCAGATGACATAGTACAAAAGCACCATCAGGTGTCAAAATTACATTTGCAAGAAATTTAATTTCTATGAATTCACAATGCTTTGATTTCATTTTCCTATTGAACGACCCTTTTCAGAATATATTTGATATTACATATTAAATAATATTATTTTCAAATTATATTCAGAACAGTAAATCATTCATTTTGGTCATCCCTTGTAATGGCGAAGTCCCATTTTTTCTTGCTATGATCGAATTGAGATAAACAGTCGCTGGCTGATATGACCAAACCTGTGTTTCAGTGATTATATCTTTTGTTTTATGTTGCATTTCAGGTGAATGACAACAGAGTGATTAAAACATGGTCTTGTACGAGAGGACGTAAAAACACAAGTTCAGTTGTATTTGATTCTGAAGAAAAAGAATTTGTTGTAGTACAAAATGAAAAAGTTTTGAGAACTTTCAAGGAAACTAATCTTGACGATGCTATGACTTTTACGGTAAGTTCATTTTGCTGAAAATTATCAAAGCAATATTACATGTACTCGATAATAAAAAATCTCCTTTGTACTCTTGTTAAACTTTATTTCTGTTTATTAACATCGTTGATTTTTTATTTATGAAAATATTCAGATATGCCCAATTTTTGCCACATCACTATAAAAGAATCTTTCATCATCAAAAATCCTTTTTATTTTAGCTGAAACAAAATATCCACCGTCTCGTTCAATGCCAAGGCCATAAGACATTTGTGTTGTTAGACGATGGATCATTATTTCATCTACATCATGTATTGGAAGATCCACAAGAAATCTCTCCAAATGCTTCAATCAAGTTGAAAATAAAGGAAATTATGTCCGTTTCATCGTTTGTGAAAAAGGATGGAAATTTGTGCATCTGTTCCATCTGTGATGTTGAAAACAATGTGAGGATATGTGTAAAAAATTATTTGATTAATGTGGCTATGTTATAGCTTAAATAGCATATAATTGCCACCAGGTATATTCGTGTCGAGCATAAATACAGCACAACTGGTATTATTAAAACGATGTAATTTACTGACGTTTCGAATTTCTATGTAGAAAAACTTTATCAGGGTTATATAGAGCAGGGAAAAGGAAAAATTATTAAGGTGAAAAAACTTTTAGCCTTTTTTTTCATATCGTGTCCTGATGAATGAAGTTTTCCTGCATAGAAATTTGAAACGTCGGTAAATCACATCAATTCATCAACACCAATTGTGATTTAATGGTTGGTGTATTGGGTTAGGTGTTGGGAAATTCTTGCCATTGCACCCCCGATCACCCCGGTTTGGAGGTTAAATCTTGTGGGGGTTAACCTAATCCTAACGGTTTGACGCATGCGCGACGTTTCAGACGTTTTGCAATGCTGTGTGTATACCATGAGGTCTGGAATGTTTGTTATGGTCTTGCTTGAAAGGAAATCTTATTCCCCACACAACGATATGAGAATGAACCTTACATGACATTTAGAAGTGATAAAATTTCGCTTACATATCACGCGTGTACTTCCCGCTGCGATATAAAAACGTCGCACAACAAGAAAATGATTCCATAAACCTTGGCGTTGCGCGCTAACCAATAACAAAAGCTAGTATGATAAGGTCTTATTTTGAAGGTCATTTTATATGCTACATAACATAGGAGAGTGGACATCTCACAACGTCAGGAAGTTATAAAAATATCGAGTCGTTTGATCGCAGCTGCCTCACCGAAAAAAAGTTAGGCGTTTTATCTCGCAAATTCTCCTTGTCTGACGATTATAAGCTTTTATGATTCATAATAAATGTTTTATTATGACTCACAAAAGCTTTCAACGCGATAAAGCACAAACAAACAACCGATCGATCTATCAAGCTTAGCCTGGCCTGATTCGATGTGGTGACTTCTCAAACGGAAAATTTCCAAAACGATTGAACGACATGCGCTAACGAAAAGCGTTTAGTATCATATGAAAGAGAAAACCGATGTGCAGTCAACTGTATAGTTACATTTCAGCTTTACAATAGCTGTAGACGTCCAACAGCTGATAGAATGAGAGAGTGTAAATATTTTTGTTATTTTTTGACGTTACGAGAGACCTCTTGAAAGAGGTGTTTTAGTTTACGGTCCTCCAGTGACATCTAGCGTATAGTACTCTAAAATACCTTTCCAATGGTATATAATTATTGTATATTGGGTAAATTTTGGGGGTCGTATGACATTAATAAAAATGTATTCAAAATTGGGCTCGATTGGGCGTCTGAATCAGGTTAATTACCTGTGAGTGGATTGACCGATATCATCGCTGGGTGGTACACTTATTGACTGTTTACAATTGACTAAGACTCTCGTGTCACGGAAATACAATTTCGATATCAAAAACTTTGATGTATTCAAGCCATCTTTAATGGACTGCTAAAATACTCAATAGACTCAAATTTTTTTGAGTTGCTGCTGTAGAAAATTTTGACTTGAATTATTCTGATTTGAGGTAATTTTTGGGAGCGATACTCGAGTGTCAAGACATAATTATGATAATCGCCCTAATTTATTAAATTTTAGGCTCACAACTAGGCTCAACAACATAATTAATTAATCGCAGGTACAAACGCAGTTACAAGTTAACTATTTGATTTAAAAGAGTCTAGCTGCACACTGACACAAATCTATTTCTTAAACTAAAATCTAGTTTAAAGTTTAATTTTCAACTATTTTTTAGGAATACGCTATCTTAGCAAGCTCGATTCATCCAGAGGAAAATGAAGTCAGTCATTGTATAAGGACTCTTCAATATGAAGGACTAAAACTCAAAGCAACATCAGAATTTCATGAAAGTGCAACACCAGTGATCACCACTGTCTGTATGTCTTTTTATTCTCAGTAAGGAAGAGTCGGTTATACGAGTCACAAAAATTCGAATATTTTTATATACAGGGAGTGATGGATCTCTTTGTCTTCTTTGTGTTTCTGTAATCAACAACAACGAAATCAACATTCAACTGGATAAAGTTACAACAGTAGAGGTATGGTGAAGGCTATGACACACATAAGAATTGGTTAAAACATAAGAAATGGATGGGAATATCGGGTTATGCCTCAATTTTTTCAATTATACTGGTAATATGGAAGGTTTATAAGAACATGAGTGGATGATAATTGAGTTCTATTCTTATTGAAGAATGCACAACTACAGCTGTTAACATTTGTGCGATTTGAATATGTCTTAATTCTGCATCTCTAAAATGTGATGTCCCACTTTCACCCTTTTTACCACACTTGTCCTACTCTTTGGAGTTGGGTGAGATATATATTTATATATTGTGGGGAAGATGGATAAATTAATCATATGGAGTGGGGTAAATATAATATTTTGACAAAAGGGTAAGGATTAGGGTATTCGCAGGAGAGTGAGATCCATACAAGTGAGACTAAACATTTTTAAGATCATGTTAACAAGTTATTTTAATAATATCGCAAATCTTGGTTATGGAGCTATATTATGACAGCAGCTTTGAATAATTTTTGTTAGATTAAATACCATTAACAAATATGTTAATCAACAATCATGGTATTTTTTATAGATTGATGAAAACGTTCAAATGACCTCGTTATCTTCCGATCAAGTCGCTGTGTTATGCAAAGGTGCAATTTTATTATTTTGGGATATTTTTCTGGAATATTATATGTGTCAATTTATGCACTCCAAGTACAATGAATTTATGATTAATCACAACTCAATTATAATTAATCAAATATTTCATATTGCATTCCAGGACAAAATGTTCACATAATAGACTTGAAATTTGGAACAACGATTCAGAAAATGGAAATCGGCTGCAATGTGGCAAAGGTGAGTTGGTTCATTGCATTAATTTCCAATATTATTAATACATCGTAGAACATTCAAACAATTCTGATTAGTTTACAAGTATTGAATCGAACCACGGATATCGGATCTTCATCTTGTCTTATTTACAGTTTTCTGGTCAACTAAAACAGCTTTATAGCGCGAGGTTTATCGCTATATATTGCCTAACCAGTGCATTCTGATAGGATAGGGTTTCATTCTTCTGAGGAGAGAAAATATGATAGGACTGCTTTATGATATGGCATACCACCAGGGACAGACATCCGGGGGTATGAGGGGAGCGACCGCAGAATATTAAGTTGCTTTTCTGGACGCAATTTTTTGGCCTGATTTGGGCGGCAATGCTTAATTTATTTTTTTAGGGTCAGTTTTTTTTTCGCATAAGTCTTTTCAAACATGATTTGTGTAAACTTTATTTCTAGATTGATATATTTTATATTGTATTTACGCCTGCCAATCATGTTAAATAATTGACTTTGGACTGCCAGATGTTATTTGTATTATACTTTATGAAAAATGTGACTGGTGCCATGAAGCAATCCATACTTCTGCCTGTTATCGATAAAGATAACGGCTACTGAGTCTCCCAGGTCTTTCCTTAATGAAATGAAGTAAATGGAGCTCTTCTCAACCTAACCTAGAACTATCCCTTTTTCATTACATTTTACTCATCCCGACCTAACCGGGAACACACCACCTTCTACATTATTAAATAATTTTTATTCATCCTAAACCATAACATCTCTTCGGTAGGTAAATTGCCTGGATAGATTTTATTTGATCCCAAATTTCATCTCCTGGGGTTTGGAGGTTTCAATATTTATTTTTAAATTTGAGGTAAACAAAATACTAACATATTAAATTAAGACTCGTAATATATGATTTGAAACGGCACGGTACAAAAGAATTTAGGAATGGTATTGAAGTTCAGCAAAGAGTATTTAGCAAGTTTCATATTTTTATTAGATTTGTTCGTTTCATATATGTTTTTGCAATGTTACAATAATAGTTGAAAGGAAATATGAAAAGTTGTTAATATTGAGCAGATCGATAACTTATTAATGTAGGTCATATCGCCAGTTTCCAGCTTAGAGATCACAAACCAGGAAATTGATTGATTGAATTCAATAATATCTTTATGGACATTTCCTCTTTGAGGAAATAAAAAGAAATATAAATTAATTCATTGGTTGTCTGTATTATTAGTTCGAGACGTGTTTTCGTTGCTACCACTTCTACCATATTTATAGTTTGAAAATGAAGTTAAAGAATGTAAATTATCGGCTCTTAGACGATAATGACTTCAGTGAAGTAGCTAGTCTAATTGCGAATGACTATTTACCGAATGAACCTATTCTAATAACGCTAAATTCAACTAAAAAGGATGCAGAAAAACTAACTGAAATCGATGTAAAACCAGTTTTGACGCTCAATGCTTCTTATGGTGCTTTTGACACTGAATCAGGAGAATTAGTTGGTATAAGTATCGTTGACATTGGAAAATACAAGAAATCTGAATCTCACAATTCAGATGTTCCATTGTGTATAAAACAGTTTATTGGAATTGATGAAGTGCTTATTGGAGGAAGTTTAAAAGAATATTTTGGTACGAACAACTACGCATATTGCTCAATTTTGTGCACAAAACATGAATATACCAAACAAGGAATTGGCACTGAATTGTTAAGAAGAACAAATAAAAATGCAAATAATAAAAAATGTGAAAACATTTGTGTGATTACATCGAGTTACTATTCTGAAAAAATTGTTCGAAAGATCGGATATGATTCAATGATAACGGTTGATTATAAAGATTACGTTGATCCATCAACTGGTAACAAAATATATGCTAACATACCAAGTCCCCACGAAAGAATAACATTCTGGGTGAAAAATTTGACGAGAATAGATTAATGGAATGAAAATGAAAGATGTAGAAAACTTTGTATTGTCAGACTTCAATCATTCCTAAATACAACCAGTTTTACCAGTTTGTGTTCACAAGAACTTATATTTGTAGAATTTGGTTTTTTTTCTGTTTATCAATCTCCACTTATTAGACGTGAAGACAAATGGTTTGTTTTGCTTAATTATTGTGGTTACGGCCATTGTTGTTGTTGTGAAGAAAATAATTCCTCTTTTGTGTTATTCTTTCATATTGTATTTGTGTTTGTAAAAATTTAAATATATAATATATATCATATGGACAGAATAAATAAATAAACGAGAATATCGGTCAGAGACCGAAGACTTATTGATCGGAAGTTAGGAGATCCCCAAAACAGCGCTCTTACTCCATAGTGACACCTTGTGTCCCATCACTAATTAATTAATAACTCGTTAATTATACTACATGATTTATTCAAAATCAATAGGCTTCTGGTACGACATATGATGAATGCACATGCAAAATCTGGAGCAGATTCAATCTCGCTTTCGTGAGATATCGCGTGCATCTAACAGACAGACAGACAAATACCTATCAACGTACTTACCGAATAAAATCGATAACTAATAATACCCTTTCGGGTATCACATCTAGTACAACTTAAAAATCTACAATTTAATATACCACAGTATAAACATCTATAACACCTGTATAACAACAATGCATCACAGTATCACAAAAATTACTACAATTAAGACTAGACAAATTATGACTAGTAAAAGCACTCGAAAGGACATTAGACAATTACCCAATAGTATTGCTAACCCATTTAATACACAAATGTCGAAAACTAGGCTATCTAATTCTCTCCAATATCATATTTGACAATTCCCAGTATTGTCCAATTGTCCTTCGGTTGGACACCTGGGAATCTCTGTATTCATCCAAATTGTGTTTGAAAATATTCACAGATGCACTTGACCTCACATTTGATGGTAAGCTGTTCCAGTATTTTGGGACCCTGTTCCCAAAAGAGTTCAACTTTGAATGCTGATTATGACAAGGTTACCAGTTCTAGAAGACTTGTTGAAAAATTGTTTCCCATATGTACAAAAACCATCTAGTATTTTGTAGGCTTCTATTAAGTCACGTCTCATTCTTCTTCCAATAATGTTGTCAGTCTCAAAGCCTCCAAGCGGTTCTCATAACTCTGTCCTCTGCAGCAGCTTATTTGTGCTGTAAACTTCCTCTGAACTGCTTCTAGATTCATTATATCGCCCCATAATGAAAACGATGATTACAGAATTTGATTGTCTAGTTTTAATGTTGAAATTTAATGTACACAGTGATTTTTTCTTCCATCTTTAGGTAATAAAAATTTGATATAGATTGATTCGGTAGACGTGAGATGAGTGATTTTTTTCACAACAATTTACCAGATCAACAATCATTAAAAATTACAGAAAACTAAATGACAAACCAAAGCCTAGATTAAAAAAAGACCATGCGCTAGTTTCAATAAACACAAACCAATTAAACTGATCATATTTAGGAATGATTGATTCATTCTTTTATCTTGATTCATTCCTTTAATCTATTCCAGACAAGTTTTTCACTCAGAATGTTACAGCCTTGTGGGGACTTGGAATGTTAGCATATATTTTGTCACTGATTGATGGATCAATGTAATCTTTATAACCTATGGTTTTCATTGAGTCATATCCAAGCTTTCGAACCATATTTTCAAAGTAGTAAATTGATGTAATCACACAAATCTTTTCATATTTTTCATTCTTTGCAGTTTCATACGTTCTTCTTAACAATTCAGTCCCAATTTCTTGTCTGGTAAAATTCACAGATGGCACCATTGTTCATATCAAAATAATATTTTAAACTTCCTCCATCGAAAACAATACTTATTTCAACCATCTCTCCTGATTCTGTTTCAAAAGCACCATAAGAAGCCTGAAAACGTAAAGTTGGTTTAACAGCGATTTCCGCTAGTTTTTCAGCGTCTTTTATATTTGAATTCGGCATCACAATATTAGGTTCGTTTAGTAAATGGTCATTTTTAATTGGGTTGGCCTGTTGGCCACTTCACTGAAGTCATTTTGGTCTAAAAAACAATAACTAAAAATATAGTAGCAGTTTTAACAAATTAAACACGCCTTAAACTGATGAAATGCTCATCTAAAAAATTCAATATGTTATGCTTTTTCTTTTTTGAAATATTCAACTAAATTGGTGATGAAGGATGAAAATGTGATTGACATTAATTTCCTGTTAGAGGAAGTTTGCTTAAAACTATTGAATTCAATCAATATTCCTGGTTTTGTTATCATCTTTTGTCAGATCGAAGCTGAAGATTGATCACTTGAAGATTGATCACCGGTTGGCAACCTTTAATTCCAACATTGCTCTAGCATATTTCAAGTTATTACTGAAACCTTTTTTCATTTTTTTTAATACAACATTGTTCAATGATTCTTTTTCTACTGGAATTTTTAAACTGTGCCCATGGCTGCTATTATACCCTTGATAAGCCACTATATACAGGATCATTCGATATAAAGTATGATCTGCAACTAATTAACGAGGCTCGCAAGCCAAAACAATCTCCCACACTTAATTTAAAATAATCCTTTTTTATTTTTTTCAGATGACAACAATTGAAAATTTCATCTTGTTTGATACTCCAAATCATGTTAAAAAACTTCCCTTCACTTCAAATCCAGTCACTCTATCGAGTGTTATTTTAAAACAACGTCAAGGCCAGCAAACATGTCAAGTTCATTGTGCTAAATGGACAGATCAACCAAAACAAACCATGTTACTCAATGAGAAAGATAATAACCTGTTGGAAATATTATTAAAAGTAAGTTAAAGGATTTTAGTATTTCACATTTCCAATTCAAACAGGCTCTTGGATACATACCGTATATCCTTTTTTCTTGAAGCTTAGCCTAGCTAACTTATTGCAAATCTTTCTAAGGTGGAGAAGATGGAATTTGAGCTGGAAATCATTACCTTATAATGCTTTGCAGTTTGGCGTATCCGGCAAGTGCTCTGTTGGTTTAAAAACAACATTAGATTTTGGTTAAGATTGCAAATCCTGAATTCTGCTCCACTTTTTTGGTATTAACATAACATTACATTAAATTTTAGACAGAACAAGAAGCAAATTTTGACAGAACTTGGACCAAGTTTTGGAAGGGAAAATCGCAAGATAATAAAAAACAATTTTCCAGATCGAATACCATGAAGGAAATCTTGAATAGATTTGGAACAGACGAGAAGAAAAAAGTTTTCTGGCCTCGTTCAACTATCTTGGAAATTGTGTCAACTGGTTGGATTAATGGAGGGTATTATATAAGATTCTCTTTTGCTGATCCATTTCGGGTAATTGAATTCAAGAGACAAAAAAGAAGGCTTTGTACGCCAAAAATCTCGATGTAAAAATTTGGTTGCTGGATTTACAGTATAAGTTTTTTTCAACCTGATATCGAACAATTTATTGTGGCTCTCGAACGGCTTCACATTTAATGCATAAAAAGTAAAAACAAAAAATGCTCATAAATTTATTATTATCTACGCATGGATGTATGTTGTAACAATAGATGTTGTACATCGTTTGTTTTGTAGTAACTAGCGCAGGCAAAAGCACATGTCTGATGTATGTCGTTTACTTACAGAACGTGCCTACCGTTAGTTGTAGTTGACACAACAATCGGAGCTGCGCGTGCATCATAATTTGAAGCTTATTGTGGCAATTGTTTATGAGAGGAAATTAATGTGGCCCGCATGCTACTGTGAATGTGCATATTTGACACAGTAGTACATAGAGTTTGCCGACCACTTATCTACAGACTTGCCATATGTCCCACTTAGTTTTCCACATTCCGATTTTTTTGTGCTCAGTTTTGTTTACAAAAGCACCTACACAAAGCATCAAATAGCACCTACACAATGCATCAAACTAAAAATTTACTTTGATATAATATTAATAATAGTAGCATGCCGATGTCTTCTCAGCCAATCTTTACTATTCTAGATGGTGTGATAAAATATTTCAAGAAATATACAAGATGGAAGATTGGGATTTACTTCAAGAGTGTTTGAAAAATTTGACCGACATCCCAGAGACTGTTCTAGTACAATGTCTGACTCTAATCGCTGCAAAAGCGTGAGTTAATATATTTGTTTGCTGATTCGTTTTCTCATTTCCTATCCAAGCAAGCTACTTCTAAAATATATATGCAGTCGTTTTGTTAATGGGGGGTATACAAAAATGAAAATTTGTGACGTCATATTTAGTATTTTACTCAACGAGGAGTATTTTTTGTGATGTTATGTCAGATTTCCATATTTGCTCATAGTCCGTCCTTAGGGGTGCCGAGGGCCCAGTACCCAGTTTGAGAAACCCTGGTTTACAACAACTAAAAATGAACCCCAAGAAATGTAGTATAGTATATAGTAAAAGCCCATTAGATTTTCTGTAACAATTGCGCTGTTTTGTTGTTATTTTCAAGGTCTGAAGACATTACCATGGAAACCATACAATACAATGATTCTGCGAAGAAGGATAAAGATCTTGAAAACAATGAAGAAAAACTTGATTTTTCTTTGTTTCCACATCATTTATACTCTTGCATGTATCCTTTATAAAAATTAAGCAAAGATGTCTATTTGAAGATGAATATGTACAAAATAAATTTTGTAAACGTGGCTCAATTTTTTGGATATAATCGCAGAATTCCAGCTGAGGACACAACAACAAGTTTGTTTATTGATAACCTGTTTTTTCTACAGAGTGGTAAAGTGTCTATCTTCACAGAAATTTTTTTTTGTTTCTCCTGTAAGTGTAGTTAATGAGCCACAGAATTTTTGGGCCACGAAAGAAAAAAGGTTTAACTGCTTGGTCATTGCCATTTTTTGCACTTTGGAACTCTTACCGTATGTAGAATTGTAGACCATTGGTCAAACACACATTGTTTCTTCCTTGACGTATATATTACAGAAATGAAATTTTACAGCTACCATATTCTGAGAATGCATTGAGAAAAGAACTAAGCTCTGTGCCATTTAATGCAATATTGGTAAGTTTTTGGTTATTAAATTGCAAATTTTACCAGGAGTATTTTTTTTCTTTTTAATATATTCCGAACGTTTTTAAATCCTTTTCCCAATATGCAGTTGTTAACGAGATAATTTGTGAGATTATTCGAATTTGAAGGAAGTCAGAAATATGTTATTTTTTTGTATTTTTTGGATCGTTTATTGCATTTTGTCAGTTTTTTTGTCTCACTTCCGATTTCACAATTGTTATTCATTCATTGGACATGATGTGTGCATAATGGATTGTTTTTCTAAATTGTTGTTATTTCTGGGGACAGAATTAGAATTTTCAATAGTTTTTTCGAAACACGATTTTCAAAACCATTTGTTTGTCTTACTATCAATAATCCTTTCTCCAAATAAACCAACCGGCATAGATGAAAATGCACGCTGATATATATGGGATGACTTCCTTAGTGAAGATAGTATGTGAAGAATCTCTTTAAGATATCAGCCCTTGTTCAGAGTAAAAGCTTCAGTAAGCGGCGTAGGCGTATTACAACATATTACAATGAAAATTGGCCTTCACCTCTGAAATTAAAATTTGGGCTGGCTATGTTCTCGGCATGGGGTCATATTTTCAAAACTTCACACTGTTTTGACATTTGATTTTATAGAAGATTGTGCTGCATCTCACTAATCTCTTGGAAAACATATTTCTCGGATCAGAATCCCCTACACTGAATCAGGTAACTGCCATTCTTTTTACCTGTTAATTTTTCTGAATTTTAAAGTTCAAATATTTAGGTTAACATTGTAAATCAGTATTTCAGTGTATTGTTTTACCTAATACACAAACACAATTTGATTTTGTGAGACCACTTTAACTAATGAAAATTGAATTTGCATACAGCATGATTAATTTTATCATTCATTTGATGTTTACATCTGGTAATAATATAACAATATGTCAGCAAAGTAGAAAATAAATTAAAGTAACTTATGAAAGAACTGGGTAGTCCATGGGTTCCGAAACTTTTCAAAGTCTCAATGTATGGGAAAGAAAATTTCATTATTGTAACATCGAATCAGGGATGGCCAATACCGAATAGTTCACTATTTCGAATACATTCGAAATTATTATTTTCGAATATGAAATTTCGAATACTTCGAAAATAAAATCCAGTAATAGAATCTAAGTGTATGAAGGAATTTTCATACAATAAACAATGGAATAACTTCTATCTACAACCTGGCTATATTACCAGTTTCATGTTTGCAGATTATTGCGATATATATTTTATATAACATGAGTTGTGTTAATCAACAGAAATAAAATAATACGACAAGGCATTTTAAATAGTGGTATCGGTGATACAAAATCATCCTAGTAAAACGCCCATACTTTTAAATACCAACCATTATCCAAATTATTTGTCAAAAAGCGGGATAAAGTATGAGTTCTTTTTCAGACTTGTGACAATTTTTTCGTGAGTACAAAAATACGAATCAAAAAGTAAATATATTTGGGAACTTTACCACACATTTTAAGTCCGCAGATCGCCGTTGTATGTTTGTGTAATAATACTTTTATTATTTTATAAATACGAAAATAGGGTTCAAAAACTATTTATAATCGGGTAGTTTACCACACATTCAATGTCCACAGATCACCGTTGTATTTTGTAAATTCTAAAATAGGAATCAAAAATTAATATCAATCGCGAGTTTGCCTCACAATTTATGTCCACAGAATGCCGTGATATTGTGCCCGAATATAATTAATTTTTGATTCTTATTTTCGTACTCGAAAAAATTGTCACAAGTCGGAAAAATAATTTATACTTTATTACACATTCAAGTCCACAAATTGCCGTTGTATTTTTGAGTTATAATAGTTTTAATATTTTGTAAATACGAATCCGAAATTAATTATAATTGGGCAGTTTACCACACATTTCATGCCCACAAATACTTCCATTATCGATACTTTTGACCATCATCAAAATTATTTTCCAGAAAGCGGGTGAAAGTATTTTTCTAATAAATCAACTTGTTTCCCAACTTATGACAATTTATTGGATATCGTAACAATTACGGCTATAAATACCGTATTTCCCGGCTAATAAGTCTACATGGCAAATAGGACGATGTATATTTTTAGCACTCAAAAAAAGGGGGTTTTCCATATAGGCCTCTAATAAGACGGGTAGAAAAATTGTTCCCTGTTGTCCAGTTATGTTAATATGCGCTAATAATAATGTTTAGAACCAGATCACGTTTGTTGAGTAGAATCATACTCACAGAATTAACTATTTTTAACAATAAAGCGGTAATTTTAAGTTAAAAATCACAATCATTTTGAACAATCTATAATTTGATAGGGTCAGAACAGAACCAGATCATGTTTGTTTGGTAGAACCATACTCACGAAATTAACTATTCTCAACAACGAAGCGGTAAATTTAAATTAAAAGCGGCAATCATTTTGGACAACCTATCAACCCGAATGTTGAAATAATTTTGGAATGTGATAAGTACCACACGGTACGTCCACGGGTTATTTCACTGCTGTGTTTCATGTCCCCGTCGTTTTCTGCTGAATCGGCAAAACCAAAGGGTCATAAATCACTTACTTTATCTCGGTGGCGGTGGCCGTGTTTTCTCTTTTAAGTAACGATAACCGGCCTACGATTAAATATCATGATTGGCAGACCCATAAGAACCAAATATAAGGTTTAACACAAATTATGCTTGGGAAGACTAATGCGAAAAATAAGCAGGCCACATAGAAATAAAATAAACATGCTTTCTCAATAAGGCGCCCCTCCCCCCAAAAAATCAAGCCAAAATTGGGTCTAGAAAAGCGACTTAGTAGCCGGGAAATACGGTGATTATCGATTTTTCGACTAATGGAAATGATTTTGTGAATTAAAAGACGAATGTCGGCAATGTCCACCAACGCAAACGTGCAAATGTGTCGCAACACTATGCGACGTACTTTCACGCTGAATATAAACAATTAAAATGCCGACTCTATTTCATGGTCATTACAATACGTGAGAAAGCGTAAAAAGTCGTTTGAAGATTCCGGTAAAACGAAACACCGTGTTTACGGCAAAAAGTGACTACTATTCGTAATTATTCGGAAATGAGCCGAAAAGGTATTCGAATACTTTGATATTCGAATAATTTCGAATATTCGATTCGTTTTGGACAACCCTGCATCGAATTATATTTTTTAATGCTGTGTGGTAGAAAATATGTAATCAAAATGATGGTTCGAAATAAGTAAACCTAGTTGTAATCGCCAACTCGCAAAAACAGTTTTAAAAAAGAGTCAAATTCGGCAATGGTACAGCATTGGAAACATTATTTGAGTTAAAGGCTGGTGTAATATCCATTAGGTAGGCTATGCCGAACCAGAAAGATGTTGGTCTTTCTGAGATGTTTTATTTCCTCGCTTGACAATGGCAACTTGTGTAGGTAGAGCCTTGTACAGTATAATAAAAATACTGTAGTTCTAATCTAACTGTTGCCACATAATGAATAATTCTTTGGGAAACTGAATAATATTTTGTGACGTACTATTTTGCGCATTGTAAGGACCAGTTTGGAAACTACTTTTGTAGTCAGTTAGTGGAAATTTTCAAGTTTAGATCCTTTTTTTCAGGTCATAAGTTGGCTTGGGATGATCATCGATGCACATTTATCTGAAATTATATTGTTGGAAGATTCCTGGCCCGCGATATCTAAACTACAAGAAGCTGTCGACTTGCAGGTATAATTCTTTTAACAATTTTGAGATTCATCAATTTTCTTTGCAACATCGAATGAAAGTGTAATTGTATTCTCGACTTTCTAATAATAATTTTAGCTTGTAAAAAGAATTATTCTTTTTCCACAGAGTAAAGTGTTCACAGAATTGACTACAGTATCAAGACTTCTAACACAAATTCAATCAAAGCTGCCTGCTGGGAAGAAATCAAAAGAATTGTATACAGTTGAAATCATGAAATTTTGAATAAATGACGTTTCGACAAAAATCTGTTTCAAATTAGGTATGTCTTGGTTGTGAGAGTAGACATCCATACTGAAAAAGTCCTAGTGTCCAAGTTACAGATGAGATATGAGTCCATGTGTTAAACAGCTAGCGTCATTTATGCGGCCTAAGTAGCTGATTAGGATTGATTGCATGGGTCACTACTGGGGTTTTGAATGTGCTGCTAATACAGCACCAATCCTTTCCCGATAAATTCCTCCCGTTGCTTTGAGCTCATCATGAAACGTGATAGATACTGCGGTGACCGTACATTTGAACCCATGTGTATATCCACGGGTTCAATCTATATGCGGGTGCTAAAACCCATGGGTTAGGGTTAGTATGGGTTCAACTATCCGAAAAACAAAAAAAATTCCATAGGTGCAATAGTCATGGGTTCAAATGTAATGGAACCAGATACTACACCAAACACAAAGTAATATTTCGCCTCCAAAAAAAACACAATTCCCCCCTTGCTGCGAAACGCTGCCATAAAGGCTTATTAGCGAGGGATTTTTCGGTCTGTGACCTTCAAATTTGGGAAACCCTGATTTTAGCCACTGAGAGATGAGAGCTGCATACCTTATCGCTAAGTTTATTGAAGATATCAGACTGTTTATGATATAAGTTTATTTCATGTGATATAAATGATGACGTGTAACAACATCTGAATAACAATATACAATAAAACACATCTGAGCTGCATGAGATGAATACAATATAAAAAGGTAGAGACCATTGTCATATTTGACTAACAGCCAATAGGTCTGATTGCACAATGCACACAGCTTATGGATTTTTATTGTGTAGTAGTAATATATACAATGGCAAGATAAAATCAGAGTAAATATAAAAATTCCATAAGAAATGGCAAGATAATTGTGGCAACTGAAGTCTGAATAAAAAATATAAATGTCAATAAACGCTGGGAGTTTGTTCTAACATTATCTGAACTAACAATAGAATTATCTTCAAATACAGTTATAGAAGCCTCGATGCCACTCCAATTCAAATTAAAAGAATAGTAAATTAATCTTGCCAACTAATATAAATTTGGGTGGAAAATGCAAGCACAACAGTAGCATAAACCAGATGTTATTACCGGTAGTTCTTCATAACTAAAAATATTTTAAAAGTAATTCCCAAATTCTAAACTTGTAGAATCTGTCCATAATTTTAACTGTGTATGTTTGATTAAAATAATCCTTACATAATCAACATAGTTTAATGGAATTTAGAGCATAATAAATAAGTCAGCCATTTGAATAAAAATGATAACGAAATTGGTTGGCACAGCCAATTTTTTTTTTTGCGAAGTAAATCTTAATAAAACAGGGAAATATAATAGAATTTTTGATGACCAATCTCGCACAAGAGAAAAAATCTTGGCTCCACCGTGGAGTTGGGCCTCCCAAGTTTGAAGAGTCTTCTAATTGTGAATAGAAACTCAAAAACTAATAGTCGATAATACATTTGCACATGAATATAATCGGAAGAAAACAGTTGGGTTCTGTTCGAACTATAGAAATATTATAGCAGAAAAAAGGTCTTGGATCATATATATAGACTGCACACTATTAAATTTAAAAAATATTGAGGCAGAATCAGTTATTAGTAAACGTAAGATACGATAAGATTTTGAGGGATAATATGTCTCGATCATATTGCAAACCCTGGCCTTTTGTATTGTTACAAGCATGGCTTAGGAGTCGTATTAACAATCAACTCCAGGCTCTAAAATAAATACTTTGAAGTACGTAAGCTATCTTTAATAATCTGTGTGTAATGTTTAGTCAATTTCATAGTGCCCATAGAAAATTTTTATCATCATCACGGGAAGACTGGAATTCTGGCTCATGTTAAAACATGCCAAATATCCCAACATAGCAAGTAGCCAACCTAAAATTCATAATAATATCAACAATTGAATAGTTTTTTTTTTCGACGCTACCGAAGTATGTGCACCAAGATGGCGCGCAACCTGAACTTTAAACTGGTACACATACTATGTTCAGGTTGTGCGCCATCCTGATGCACATACTTCGGAGTTCCCTTTTTTCAGTAACGAATACTCATCAGTACAATGGGAACAACACTAAATCTATGCAACATCTAAATGGTATTCATTTGCGTCGTAAAAACTCTGAACAGACTGGCAAGAAAATGACAATTGTGAAAAAATAATGTAAGATAGATCGCAATAACACAAAATTCTTTCAAATACTGAATAAATATACGACTTGCAGTTGATGATTTAAAATAATAAGAAAAATTGCAGCGAGAAAAAAGCAACATGATAAAATCAGCAGCCGATAACAACCGGTACTCAAACGAGTGAATGAATTTCCAAACTAAAAATTAATTTTCATTGCAATAATAAGTGTGTATAAAGATGAAAAAAATTGTCACTAAAATCTCATAACGATGAATCACACTCGTTCAACAACAAAACAGTTTACTATTCTATCTATGATATTCTTCATTCTTATATATAGTTATAAAAACGAGTTCTGTAACTTGACATGACATGCATGGGGGTAAATCTTTTCAGCAAGAAAGTACATGGCCGTTGACCGTATATTGTAAAACGATTTTTTTGTTCTTTTTTTTCATAGTTCACTTACGATACACTAGAATATACAGTCACTGGAAACATTCTTATGTCCCTTTTTTCATGGTTCACTTATAACACACTAGAATATACAGTCTATGGAGTTGAGATTTCGCTTTTAAAATTTAGAAAAGGTTAAGATCTCCGCTATAAATCAAAACACTACTATAGGGCTCTTAGTGATAGGGTTGTGACAATAGTAGGAAATATATACCGTAGGTCTATACGAATTTCCCTCTGCAATATATTTGAAATTCAGTTACAGATACATTGTAAAAGTTTGCTTGGTAAAATTTGGCAAAATGTCTAATTTGGCTTCAATATCTGAATTGCTGAAATGCATCTTTTTCATAATATCGATAAGTTTTAAATTTTTTAAACTCAAAATTAAATAGTTTCTACATAGGTATCATACCCCTACACACTACTCTAGTGCTATGTACTTCCATAGTATGTGTACCAGGTAAGGGTTTAAGTTTAGACCGTAATTTTATTCGGATTTTCCTTATTTTAGTTCTGTTACGAGTTCGGGGACTGTCTGTGTTAGCAAAGTGAATATAACCCCTGCCCATAAGTTTCAGTCTCTTTATACAACTTGTGTAAAATAGGCGAACAAAATCAGTTACCTCCATATTGGTACATACACTTCTGGAGCGCCAAATTATTGACAGTTCAAAAACTCCACAACGATTAAATATATAAACCAGTTATAAGCACAACTCACTCAGTAAAATATTAAAAGTAACCCCATAAAACTGAAAAGTTATTATAGATAGCATTCCTAAAATTCAAAGTAAAAAGAAAACAGTGCACAATGCTAATTTGTGTGTTGTGTGTTTTCACAAGGTTGAACTTGACCTGAGAAAAGATTCAGGTTAATTCAAATACGGCCCGAACTTGACTTTTTTAACATCATACACTTTGCTATGATCGAGTACTTGCAAATGCTTTCAAAATTTGACGCATAGCATCGTTACTCCGTGATGTTCCATTATAAACAAGCAATCCACCTGAGTTCGCCTTCCAGTTTTGATTCTTGTTAGATTCTGATGCTTCGTTATATTTTACTTGGCAGGAATCAAGAACAGATAAAAAATCATTTTCAGATTCAGTTGTATCTGAGAATGTAAGAAATATTTTTGTTTTAACAGTTGGCCTCGGGTCTAGGGCAATGGTTCTCAATCTTCCATGATCTGTGCCCCTCCCCCGCCCCTTGGCCCCTTCAAAAAAAAATTTCCTTATTTGAGCATTTGTCTAATGCATGTTTCCCTAGCATCGACTTCCTTGTTTATTTCCGTGTTATTTAATAATCTGCAAGGTGTCAAAAGTGACATAACAAATGAAATTTTAACAGCCATCCAGACATTTCTTTCACTCAGATAGATTTTCAGGCATAAAATTTAGCTTGTTTTCATTTTTTTGCTAGTTATTTGTTTGTAACTAGTTTTGCTCGAAATTTGGGTATAAAAAAGTATAATAAGATAATATTTTGTAAAAACAGAAATTTAAAGCAACAAAATTTGACAAATATAGATATTTGAATAACCCAACTGATGATATTTCCAGAAATTTGAAACATTGAAATCATCAAATTACTATAAGAACTTCAATTTCAATGCATATTTCATCAGTGTGGTATTTCAACATTAAAATGAATTATGGATAAGTTCAGAACAAACCATCAAAGCAACATCACAAGTTCTATATATATATTACCAAACATTATATAAAATTGCGAAGACTTTTACATTTAAATTTTAAAATCCATGAATTTTTTATTACACAATCTTAAAATCAAAAGTTGAATTACTATTGATCGCAAGTCCCAACACTACGAGCATTGAATCACCGAAAGGTAAACTTGAAAATAATTAAAGATCAATAGCTTGTACCCGACAGACTGCTTTATATATAAGACTATAAGAGTCTGTTAAACTTTTATACACCCTATCAAAATAAGGCTCTGTACATTCAGATTCGCTAGTTGGTTTATGCTTTCGTTTTTGTCTATTTATTGTAACCTGTCAAATATAAATTACAGGAAACTCTATAGATTTCGAAAAATTGTTAATCTGAGAGAAACAATAAAAACTTAATGCCCGACTCGACCTGAAGAAAGGGCATTTCTCTGCTTTATACTTCATATTATAGGCCTATCGTATATTCAAATATGAGATATTCACCATATTTTTCAATCGCTTCATTTAAGACTGCAATGCCGCCTTCACAAGACCGTAAAATGGCATGAGGAGCACATGTATCCCATTTGTAACTTCCATCGAATGTGTAAACAAATAATTCAGCTAATTTATCCACTACAGTAACACATTTGTGTCCCGCACCTCGGGATAAACATGTTTCCATAGTTGAGGATAATGGCTTTATTACGGACAATGCTTCAGGGTCGTGTGAGCTTAGCACAACAACATGCTTCTCATTATGGATCTGAAGTTAAAAGAAAGTGATTCTGTGATTACGGTAAGTATTTAACACACAGCTACATAAATGGTACTGGGAAGAATACTAGATATGGAAAACAGGTTGTGAAGATATTTGCAATAGAATCAGACTCCTTTCGCATCAGACTAGAAAAATTTTGAGTCTTGACTCCATCAGCAAACTTCAAAAAATTGAATAATAACTTTGACGTATGGAAGCCTACATCAATAGCTGTTAGAAACGCTTGGTAAATTTAATGTCTTCATTATCACCACTGAATGACGTGAATTATAACTCCCGAAGAATTGAGAATTTCGATTCAAATCCTGTTAATTTTTGAAATATGATACAATTTCTCACACTATGGCTGATGTAATTCAATTGCTTAATAAGGGCTTTTTTATTTATGCGACACGTTTCCCAGCTATGTTGGCACTGTATTTAATATACCGTATGTTTCACAAACAAACATCTTTTCATATGTGCATAATATCAATAATATGCAATCCTAGTAAGTAATTCACCAACATTGAATTAATCAATACCCAGAATGACAGACAATCAATTAGTGTCAGGTTAGATACCAGTTCCCTAAATCAATATATATTTATCATAATCGATTGTTTATGCTAGGACATTAGTTAACGCATACTCATTTACCGTGTTATTTTTCTTCAAATTATTTCGATTGACGTTGTTATAAGAGAAACCCCAGATGCAACGACTCTTCCATCTAAATTATGAAAAGAGAAAATTTTGTTCAACAATTTTTATCTCGATATGCACCGTGTGTGTCATTCTTTGGAATGGGCCACAAATTGTGAAAGTTTGAGAACAACTAGGCTAAAATATACAGCCAGTTCTCAAATGTAGAAATCAAAGAGAGAATACCATCCAACAAATGTATCTACCAATTTAAAGTGATAGATGATATAAAAATTGAGGTATAAAACACAATAACAACACCCAAGAGACATGGCAGAAAATTTTCAAATGTGATTAGAATTGACATGCTGAAACAGTCACTAATCAAACCTCTTGAGAGTTCCTCAGACAAGACTTTCATAAATTTTCAATATTTTAAATTTAAGTTTCAAACTTACGATGCCACCAAAATTCCACTTCTGATATTTTCGGTTCTTTTTACATTCAGATGATAAATAAACTATATAGGATGTTCATATTTTATCTTGAGCAAGAGAAAAGCCAACAAGACAGCGTAATAATATGACAAAGCAAGGCCGATCCTCCAGGTATCATGTTCATGCCGAGTATGGGGATAGTTAAGCAGTAAATTGTTTCACACTCATGAAATTGATGGAATATAACAGCGGTTAGTAGAACCGTCCTACAAAAGTGAGCAGTCCAACGGTCCTGTTCAACATAATTAGGTCCCACGGGACTCAAACCGGCAAAACCCACTCAAGGTATTCAGAGATACTATGGCAAATGTCTTCCTAATGTTATTAAGCAAGATGTGCAGAATGCCAATACTAAAATAATATTCAATAATGGGAAAAAAAAAACTAAAAAAGTTATTTTAGATTAATCTATTTGATCATCTTCTGTAAGGTGTTTGAAATAGACTGTAGGTGTAAAGTCCTGCCATAATTCTTGTGTTCATCATAACATATGTATCAAGCATGTAAAAGTAGACAGCCAAAACAAGACAACAAAGCTATCCATACGCACTCTTTTAAAAGGACTATAAATAGTATGTACAAATGTTGAGAATGCTTTCTTTTTAGGTTTGAATAAATAACCTTACAAAGTGGCCTCCCGAACAGAGGCAGACGCCGATTAAATTACATTCTTTTGTTTCATAATGAATAGTTATGTTTACGAGTGCAAATTGTAGAATAAAATGTATATTTTTATTGGAGAGCATCGATGCAATGGCATCTCTATAGTAAAATAATACTATAGGGTCAGATGAATGAAAAGTTTTCTTTGAAATATTATGAATCGGGAGAGACAAATTTTTACAGCAAAGTGAAATTTCTTATTCATTCTAGAGCAATTATGATCGAACGGCACAAAGCCTGTTGAGAGTAGAAACGCAATCACTGGTTGGTTACGACTTGCTCCACCATCAAGCCAATGCATCAAAACACAAGGCTGTGGTTTGCATATCATAAAGCTGTCTTACCAGGTTTCCTCTCTCGGGAATACACATGAAAATCCTATCCTATTTTTTTTTGATAAATTCCTAATAGCACAAAATTGTACTTCCCTTCAGTTTTTTTATATTGTATACATTATATTTCAAAGCTTAGATACTTCTGCATCTGGTTAAACAAAGCAGAATTCAATCTCACTTTTTTTGTCCGTTATTGACGTTTTTTTGACAGAATGGCTGATTTACAACACCTAAGATTGGTTTTCCATCATCAAGTGAGTAAACACCAATTAGAACCATAACACATTGAAGGCCAGCTTCATAAATTCCATGAGCAGTTGGAACCATATCTTCTATGCCTTTGACATATTGGGATGTACAATCTGGTAAAAAATACTGATAATTATTATGATGATATGACAACCATTTTAAGGAGAAAAACCTTCGTAGGTAAACAGGGCAACTCTTCTGATGGTGGAACCCTGGTTATTCTGTGTTGGATGTTTCCCTGGCCATGTTTGGTTAGCCTTTAACACCTTAGTGAAATTATTTTTGTATTTTACCATTGGAAAATTACTTATGCTTCAGCAATTGTTTTTATGAATTGGAGCTTGGAAACTCGTTTTTATGTATAAAATCACCATTTCTATAGAATATATTTATATTTCATTATAAAGTACTGGTAGCCAACTTTAGTCTAGTCTACCAAAGTTTCTGTGCTGTGTCCTAGTTAAGTTTTGACATAACTAAAAACTGACAAGCAGCGGAAAGCGCTCTGAAATTTGTTAGGAGTGGGAAAAGTATCTGCCCAACTGTTAAAATTTCAGTTGTGATGTCACTGTAAAATTGTTAAAGAAGGAAGTCAGATCTCAATGAAATATCCATTACTGGTCAAGTACAATAATGCATCAGAGTTTCTGTCATCTGTTTGTCAGTAAATTCAAGAAGTATAGAATAGGAAAATATTTCCAAAGGGTAGCACGGTATTGGACCAAACCGTACAACGAGGCATTGTTAAAATACAGCAACGATTCAAGTAGAAACTATTTATTTTCAAATATGTGTTGACTGTTGATATAATCACAATGCACTAAAATTGTAATCCCATTCACTTTGGGAGTCAATCATACTGTCATACTTTCACACATAAGAATAGGCTTTCATGTGTATCTACCAGTATATCTATATGTCCAGTCGAGAAAATTGCATTGTGAGCAATACATGAACAGGAAGTCAATGAATGTCTTAAATCAATAAATAGCTGACATGGTATGCCTACCAATAAGTAAATTTTCCATATGGTTGGCTAAAGATACACAATACATCAATTCTCAACATAATAGTCCAAAATGAAGATATAAAACACAAACAACGTCTTTTTACACAACGTATTTATACATATTTCACTCTTAAATAGGCTCTGCAATTGGTGCGATCATACTTCTTCTGAATTTTTAGTGCAATCGGAGTTATGCGGAAATAAACTGATCCCTTAATTTACCAACTTTTTTTTGAATTTTAAGCTTGGCTTATATGCAGTGTTCCCTCTAAAGTGTGCGCGCGCACACAGCTTTCAGAGGCTGCGCACACGCATAGATTTACTGCGCATAGACATATTTCGATGTAATGTAACAATGTTGGCAGGTTGAGAAAGTTTGTTGTTGGCCCACCCATTACCCGGTTAGAACGCCAAGTTTCTTCATTGGTTTTTGCACAAATATTAGTCATTTCCAAATAAGTGCGCAAACACCAAAATTTCTGCGCATACATACTACACAAAATTAGAGGGAACATTGCTTATATTCAAGGGTGTGCGTTAAGTCTGACACACTCTTTGATCAAGTTTACTCACCTATGGGGTCAATCCATATTCCAATGTTTTCTAGATCGAGATTACTCGACGCAATATCCTTCAAAACATCAGGTTCAACTAATGATTCTATTTCTAATGAAATTTCTTCATGAGCTGCTTCAGCTAAAACCCTGAGATATAACATCAAGCATGGTACATAAATAGGGGTACAGTATTATATCAGGTCATACTTGATACAAGTTTACGTTGCCAAAAACTTTATTGTAGATCAGGCTCAGTTAACAATAAGTTTTTCAAGCCAAAATCAAATCCACATTTCCAACATGGAAAAAATCTGAAATTGGTATTGGTAGACGACGGCTTCCTCCACCATCGAATCCATAATTACTAGCTAACCAATCCCATACCGACTGAAAACTGGACGGAAGGCTGTGGTTCGTCATATGATTGAGCCGTCTTATCAACTTTCCTCTCCCTGGGGATAAATATGTAACATCCTATCCTACCATAAGCATAGTAATATCGAACCTTGCAGCAGCATCGTTTCCAGCAAGTACTTTTGACAACATATCGGACGTTTCTTTCACCTCGGACCCAATTTCAACTGATACCGTTTCTCCCAAAGTATTAGTAAATTGGTTGTTTTCTTCACCTTGAACATAATCAGCCAGCTTTCCAAACTAATAAAAAAATTAATATTAGAAAATAAATGAATTTCAAGCCAAATATTATACTATGTATCAATTTTAACCTGCACTGCTGAGATAGTTTAGTCTAACGCTTTAACCCCAACGCAACATCCCACAAAATGCAAAATAAAATTTTAACTGCAAGATTAAATCGAATTCCGGGAGATCAAAATCCAGGAAACATACAAATACAAAAAACAATACAGAACTACATTCGCCATGTTTTGTATTCTACAATAAATCAAATTTTTAACTAAAGAATATTTGGTGCAATGTCAGCTCTTATGAGTAAAGACCTTTAGATATATTTATTATTCCTAATAGATAATCATCAAAAATTAAAAATACCTTCGTTTTAACTTCTTTCGTGACAGTTTGTTGAATAAAAACATCAGCTAATGTTTTGAAATCAATTTCATTGAATTTTTCACCTTTTTCTTGTATAAGTAACGAAAATAAGTCCTGGTTTTCTCGGCAAAGTCGAGCGATTCGACTAGCTTTTTCTGATGCCAGTATAAGAGTGCAAAGAAGATTATCAGCCATTATAAATATACAATCTAATCTCGATATAATATAAAACCTAGTGTAAAAAACCTAAAAAAAATAAACCAAATTTTATTTCATATCAAATATCAGAAAAACACTATACTTTAATTACTATTAAAAATAGGACTATTGTAGAACAAAAATAGGACAGATTCCACATTGAGAGGCTTTGGTTTTTCTATTCACTCTGTCATGTGAGAATATTAATTAGACAGTCTTAAAATGAAAACGTATAAATGCATTTTCTATTTCAGTACAATTACCGTAGGTTTAAAAATAAAAACTTTAAAAAAATTGTCCGAAAATTTTCACATACAGTATATTAAAATCTTTAAACATGGAAAATCAAACAATTATTTTGGTATGAACTTAAAAACATTAGGCAAATTCATCATAATTTTACGATTATACAAAATTGAGGCGTAAACATTACCCTGGTTGTTACCCATGGGTTCTCAAACTCTCTCTCAGACCCCCCATGGGGTGCCAATTAATTCGCTTTCATTTTTTTTTTCATTATTGCAGAGTGCAGAACTAGGTATTTTCATAGAAAGGCAGGGGGCCGAAAGTGTTGAAGAGTCTTTGGAGAGGCAAGCAAGAAAATGTAGTGGACATTCACATAAAATGATTCTGCCATGCCTGGAAGCATTTCATAAAAATTTTGGTCAAATAATATTTTGACCAAAAAAGCCACCAAGGACACTTCAGTGTATTGAAATATAACTTATTCAGTACCTTTTTAATCATGTGCAAAACATATAAATAAAATAATCAAACGGAACAGTAAGTAGGTAAAACAGTTCTCGATAAAACTTAAACATTAATAAAAAAAATATAATAGAACTACAAGTCATGTTTTAAATTTGCTTCACAGAAATTCATGGAAGTGCAACTGAACACTATGGCAAGAAAAAAATTCAGTGAATACAATAGGTAATATCTACAATATGTAAAAAAACATAAAAAAAAGTGCAAGCCATTTGCTTCGAATTAATAGAACTACTCATCAAAAAAATATCTGGATGAATCTTTCCTTGAGCAAAACTCAAAAGTTTGTAAGAAATCTGGCTTGGATAGGTAAAAAAAAACATGTTTACTCATTATAGGCCTTGGTAAATGCTTTAAACAAAAGACAGCAAGCATAAATGGAATTATGGTTAAATATTATACAGTGAGGTGGTGCTTCAATTTTCTAAGTGCTGCGCTACGGGCAGTAAAGTGCTTTTCAAAACCACTCGAACAAGTATTGAAGAATCTTCGACCAGTGGCTTCTTTAAACAATGAAAGTAAAGTGCATAGAAAGTCTGGCTTTCAATGGCATATTGTAAAATTCATTTGGTTGAAAACAAATAATTTTAAATTTAAATAACAGTTACAGATTGTATCTCTTCATTGTGCTCCTTTATATTATCTTTATTCCAACGGACCGAGTCTCCGGCAGATTTATCCGTATAGACTTGAGAGATATCTGAGGAAGGGTCTTTCAGGTCAAAACATTTTAGAGACTGAAATGCATGCGATCCTGCATCTAAATGTAAATTTAAATGCCTTTGCTGCGACAATAATCTTTCATGACGTAATCTTTTTCCTGCGCTTTTAGTCATGGTTCGTCGAACATCATTGAGTAAATTTTGTTCCTCATTTTTGTTGATGCCATTTGGGGTCGTTAACATGATACGAGATAAACGGCGTGATAAACGTCGACGCCAAGCGTCTTCTCCAATGCCTCGTACAGTATGAGAGCTTCGTCTCGATGGCGCCTTAACGCTGGGCTTTTCGACAGATAATTTTGTTTTATCAGTTTCGTCTTCTTCTAATATGGGTAAAAATTGACCCTGTTTTTTAACCCCCCTGTTCGGTTCTTCTATTTCTTCCTCGCTATCCGATGGTTCCAAACTTTCCTCGTGGACAACTTCCTCTACCGTGTGATGTTCTTTAAGTATAGGATGATCTGGCATGCTCAAAGGATCAAATAAAACCTCCTGTGGCACCATGGGATGAAACCAAGTCGATTCATCATAAAGATCCCAAGGATTACTTTGCCCAAAAGTGCCAACATACTCGCTAGTTAGTTTCCATATTCGAACTGTCCGATCAGTAGAGGAGGTTAATATTGTAGCATGTTGTTCGACTAAACATATTGATGTGATTCTTTTAATATGGCATCTCCAACCTCGTAACAATTTAGGTGGATTTTGTAATTGATTACGCTTTTTTGATTGGACATGAGCATATTGGCTTATATTCCAAACTCTTATGAAACCAAGTTCATCAGCAATATATAATACATCTTCATCTTCAGTAAGGACCATACTAGTAACAGCACAAGAATTTAGCGTTACCGCACAATGAGCGAATACTTCTCTTTCTTGTACATTCCAAAATATCAAAGTGCCATTTGTGCAACCAGCTATGAGAGGAGCCTGGACTTTGCCTTCAACTCTTTTCTTTATAAAAATAAGTTTACTAACGGCCTGTTGTACTTGTTCATTCTCGAAACCTGAATCCCCATCACTTTCGGAAGAAGGTTTCCCTGGATACGGTAAGGAACAAAGAATATGTCCTGAAACAAAATTCCAAACTTTTATCAAACCTTCATAAGACGCTGTCGCTAAGAAATTAGGGGGGCTGTGTGCTGCGCATACAATATCCTCATCGTGACAAAACTTTTCATAATTTTGCCATTTATTTTCTGGTCTTTGAAGAGCTCTTATATCTTGTACGTCATCTGGATAGATGTTGATTTTTTTATCCCAACCAACTCCACATATGAAGCTATTTTTATTCGTCTCAAGATATAAACAGGCTGAAATTTCCTGTCTTTCTCCTTCTGGAGCAAGAGTACGTAGACAATGTCCGTTATTGTAATTCCAAATTCTTATTGTACCATCTCTACCTCCAGTGACAAGGCGTCGTCCACTACGATCAAACGTCATACAAGTGACGGCTTCATCTCCATGTGCTTTGTTAAACTCAAACATGGGGTAACCATTATCAAAATCCCATAATTTCACAACTCCTGCTTCCGAGCATGTAATAACATGGTTGAAGCTTGAATTATAACCAACGCATGTTACAGATTCGCTATGACTCGTTGGCATTTCAGCTTGAACATAAACTTTTTGACTAATTTTGAGTAGGGAGATATGATCTGTTACAATCGCAACTGCTTTACACGATTCGGTATAGCTGCACGTCAATATTTCTCCTGTTATTTTATGGAGTTTGGGACTGAGAGTAACCAAACACGTTTGTTCCACGAGATCCCATACTTTAACGACTTTATCAACAGATACACTGAAGACTCTGTCATCCACTCCCGACATGGCAACAAATACCAAAGGTGTATTGTGACCTCGTAAATATCCAGTAGGCTTTTGTGGCATATATGGATTCCAAAGTCGCAATATACGATCCATGCCTCCAGTAGCAATGATGTTTCTTTCCTTACAAAAATCGAATGTGGAAACACCTTTATAAACACTAAAAACAGATTGGTCAGCATCTTGTCTTCTTTTTCCTTCAGGTAAATGACGACCATGATGCCTACGACCTTGCCTTGATGCTTGACCTTGACGATTGCTTAACACTGCGGAAAGACCACGACCAGGAACAGTATTCAGAGATGTGCTTGGCCTTGTGCAGCCACGAACGAGTGCATTTGCAGTTTGATTGCAAGATGAAACGACAGAATGTAATTCGTGGTAATATTTTAACTTAGAAATCCAATCGTCATGAACTTTCCATTTGATATAATAAATATGGCTTTCGCAACTTATTTCTTGTATTATTACAGTCGGCATACCATTGATCAAAGGTGCCTTTTTCCATAATCTAAATGTTTCCCCACATTTACGAATTTCAATGATACCTACGCAGCCTTGATCATCGCCGTATGTTATAATGCATTCGTCTTGATCAATTCCGCAAACATCCATGCACAAAGGAATACTGTCGAATCCCGTCACACGACAGCAAAGATCAAGAGTTGAAAGCTCGTAAAAGTGTATATCGCGATCACCAGTCCCGATGATTATCTTATTCTGTGAGGCTAGAACTGATATATCAGTAACCCAAATACTTGGTTTGATAGAAAATGATGAGCTTCCACCTGAATCAATAGTAATCATTTTCGATTTTTTCAACTCCATATCATGAGACCAAAACGAAAGCAAACCTTCTTTGCTACAGCACATAAAAGTAGAATCGCCAATATGTAACATTCGCAATACAGGAGATTTATGATAATGGCTTGTGGAACACACAGCAGGAAGAGTAAACATAACTCTTTTTGATCGCAAAAATGCCTCTTCCTTTTCAGCGTACTCGAGTTGCATGTAAGTGCAAAACTCATCCCAATCTATTTCTCCATCCGAGGAAGAATCAATTTTCATAAAAAGAGCAATAATTTGTTCTTCGTGCCTACCTCGGATTCCGAGAGAATTCTTGACCACCATTTTGAACTCATCGATATCCAAGGTTCCACTTCCATCAGTATCAGCAGCCTCAAAAGCTGCCTTGATTGCGTGAAGCTGTTCAAGAGTTATTCTTTCCTCTACTTTAATTTTCCCTGTTGTTGATTGGGGTGTGTTGAGTCTCGTCAGTTCTGCAGCATGTTCCCCTATTCCGTCTATTTCACTGAGAGTCAGTCTACGGTCCTGCTTGACCAGTCTGCACTTATCTTCCCTCGACGAAGGCCTGGATCGCTGTGCATATTCAGCCGATTTATTGATTGTGGTTAAACCAGCGTGCCCTGCAGCTGTGGCCGGACGGGAAACGTCTTGAGTGATTGTTACCGCATCGGATTGTATTCTTGCACTAGCAGATGATGGGCGAATGATAGGAGCATACCTTTTGTCGCCATAATCAGCTGTATTTGGCCTATACATCAGCAAGGAAAGATGCCAACCAAAGACGAAAAGCTCTCACGGACAAACGCAAAACCCAACCCAAATAGACTAAACCCAACGAACGCTAGCTGGAATCAAGATCGACTGAGAGCGTGCGCACAAGACGCCGTCCAGTGAAATAACCATGACAACGCAAGCCAAAATACTGAACTGATTCAGCAAAGTTTGCATTGAAAAAATGCATTTAAATCTATATATTTTATTCCAAACGAATCTCACCAACAAATAAAATATAAATTTAGTTTGGTTGGTCGATCCAGATTCAAGTCTATAATCGTAGCGATATTTCACAGTATATTTTCACCACATGCGATATGATTATAAATTAGGCATGAGACATTGTTGTGAATCTTGTCACTTTTGTACACAGTGTACTGCCCAAACGATTCTATCATGTGAGTTCTGGCCTAGAGATTACAAACCACTTCTTTATGTGCCTAAAATTGAGACTATATATCGATTCTACCGGTGTTCGGCTTGGCGTTTATTGTCTTCCCCTTCGGAGTATTATTGATTCGCCACTATTCATTTAATTTATCAAAGGTTCGATGAATACATCTATTACGGTGTCTAATTAAAATAAAAAAGTCATTCCTTTAAATGAAAAGGACAGCAACACGAATGTAAATGTGTACAAACGAATTTCTTTTGCAGTTTTAAGATCTTTTGTACAAAGCCTCTTCCAAAAAACACTCCTGCCAACGCTTAAAAATTAGTATGTACCCAGCTAAGGTTTGGGTTAGGAATGCAGATTGCACTGGAAATTCAAATTTTTAAATCATTCCCAACCCAAACTGGATAATTACTAATTCGTTATTTAAAAACGTAGCAAGGTGTTTCTCTCAAATCTCACATTTTTTGCATTAGTGGCCGGAATTTATAAAAAAAAATCCAAGATTTTTAGAGGACTGCGTCACATTTCCTCGAGGTTCACCCTTTACAGATAACGAAACCCTCTTGTACTGCAAGATGACTTATTTATAGCCTTTCACCCCAGCTGGTGTTGGCCTCCGTTTTTTCATGATCTGATCCCTGTTCGCTATTGAATAACCCAATGATTTATATATTGAAAGCTTTATTGTGCAATGCATAGGCATCTACTTTAAAAAAACCTGAAGCAACAAGCATTTTGAAATAAAAATATATCTTTGTGTACAAAAATAAATTATAAAATAATCTAAAAAACTAAAAATCATTTGCGGGTGCATTGAAGAACGTCAATCTGTTGGCCAGAATAGATCTCCAACTCTATATTGAAGGTTGATTGTTTTGCGTAGGTTAAGTTACATCTACCCATTTATTGACTACAATGATATTAAGAGTTGTGCATAACACTCATATTTAAAAAATTTACAGTCAATCTGGAAACAAAATCATCTGTAATAATGGAACAACATGTAGCGTAGATATGTCTGCCATTGCGGCTTCTACCACACCAGGTGAAGTTATCGACAGAAGATTTGCCTGCCGAAAAACAAAAATGGCTACAGCGAATATAGAGAGAAGCCTCAAATCTCCAAATCCAATAATACGATCCCATAAGAGGTGAAGCTGATAGGTTGCTAAATAGCCAGAGTAAGCTCGTACCAACCATTTGAAAGCAATTTTCAATGGTTGAATTCCAATATCTTGCAGATGATGAAAAAGCTTCGGGTGAACCGCTTGCAACGTTGTCTCAAATAGAAGGCACAGCGATACTATTCCTTGGGGGTGAGATGAAATAGTGTGTAGGTGATAAAAATATCTCATGTACAATTCTCGGAACATATAATACAATCTTGTCGGTTCTGCATAGAGGTAGCACAAAGGAGTGACATACATCGAAAAACCATGAAAAGGTATCACTCCATTTGGAGGATATATTACAGCATATTCATCTTGTCCCCATTTTCCTTTTATGAACGACTTTGGTGGAGTTGCGCTGCTGTTAGTGAAATGCCTCAAAACAAAAGTATCCCGAGAGAAAACGAGCAAAACTTGGTAAAGATAGTCTTCGAATACAAAATAATAATCATCATTTGTTGCTGTTAGTTTGACATCTTTGTAAATAAGACTATCGACAAGAAGATCATGTTGCAATACATATCCTTTCAATTGCTCATAGTGTAAAATACTCAAATGGTCAACTGTGACTCCGAGTGCGAGTTGCCATATATCAGCTCTTGATCCATTAGGACTCCCTTGGCGTAAGAAATATTGCGCAACAGAGCTTTGCTTGTCATCCAAAACCTTTTTTGCAACTTTCTGTCTATCAGCAGAAAAAAGTTGTGTTAAAACCTCGGTGCAATCATCAACACCATTCTGACTTATTTTGGGGTTCAATTCGCTGTACTTTTTCCCTAATTTAGCAATGCTTGGAACTTCAAGAGGAATTTGTATTAATCCACTTAGTGTATTCATACTTTTACTCTGCTCAGGGGTACTTGAATCCTTTGCGAGTGACGTAGCGTTAAAATTAGAGTTTTGCAATGAAGCAATGACTTCTAAAAAATCTTTTGGAGCATAAACTGGCCGAAAATGACTAAGATCGGGTTCGTCCGTTCCCATTTCATTCCATTTTTGCAACAAATCTCTCTGTTCGTCATTAGGTCGTTTTCGAGCTAACGGAATACTCAATTCAGTACACATGCTGTTCATACTTTTAAGAATCCTCCGTTCCCAATTCGCTTGTGCTTTTCTCAAATATTCCAAAGGTTCTTTCCTGGACTCCAAATCTTGAGAAGTTAACTTCAATTTGGAATTGCTACAATCTTCTCCTTGAATACGATTTAATTCCCTGTAAACAGCATTCCGAAGTACCTTCTCCCAACCAGAGCTTTTTAATCCTTGCGCAATATCATTTCGTAATGTTGCTTTCGTTACACCTTGCTGTTCAGCTTCTTTCTTCGCAGCGTATTTTAGTTGTGTTTGTAATGTTGTAGATTTTAGCCTCGTCACAATTTGTGAAATAACATTGGATAATTCAGCATTGTCAAGATCGGAATTTTTCATTGCATTGGTAATATATCATACAACAAAATCTGTGAAATTAAAAATAGAGAAATATAATTATTATTTCTTAGTGTTCATTGAATAGGATGAGATGATTCTGAATTAATAACTGAATCAATTGAAAAATTAATCACAAGTGGGGGTTTTGAATGCCTTGAATTTATATAAAAAGATGATTTCGAAAAACACGAAACAGTTTTCTTTATTCTAGCACTAAGTATAATAAAATTAAATATTTAATAACACAAATTATGAATTTTAGGATTTTATATTTTTAAGGAAAAAATGTTCAAGAGTATCATTATCAGGTTTACATGGAGATCCACACAACATATCCCTTCCCACAACAGATTTTGGAAAGGCTATAACATCACGAATACTTTTTGCATTGCACAATTCCGCAACTAAGCGGTCCAAACCGATTGCAATTCCACCATGAGGTGGAGCACCAGATTTTAATGCTTCAAGTAAATGTTCTAATTTTGAAGAATCAATTTTAAGAAAATCATCGAGAATCCTTTTTTGAAGAGAAGAATCATGAATCCGGATTGATCCTCCTGCAATTTCACTCCCGTTTAAAACAAGATCATAAGCAAGACTGCGGATTTTTGTTGGCTCTGATTCAAGCAATGAAACATCATCAGGATGTGGAGCTGTAAACGGGTGATGAACAGGTTTCAATCCTTCGTCAGAATTTACATCAAATAATGGAAAATCAGATATCCAAACAAAATTATATTGTTCAGGTGGACGAAGTTCAATGCCAGCTACTTCCAATGCATCAGCAACAAACAATCTAATTTTTCCTAGTTTTTCTTTTACTTTTGCGAAGCCGTCCCAACCAATCCATACAATATCACCCTCATTCAGTTTTAAGTTTGACAAAAGTTTTTTTGTAGTCAAGGTTTGAAGCTGTAGATTGATGCCAAATAAATGATCAAAATCGTCATTTTTGTTGACCAATAGTACTGAATCTTGTGACGGACTGTCTGAAAAATATTTTGTTTTCATCTTATAAACGTTTTCAACTCCAATTTTACCTAAACCTTCACTATGATTTTGGGGGATAACGAATGCATTGACAGTGTCAGACTTATCGATGATTTCAGTTTCTTGAATCAAAATTGTCGTAATATCTGAAAGAGTCATTTGGAATCTTGTATCGGGTTTATCAGTGCCATATTTATCAATAGCATCGGCAAGAGAAAGTTTTGGAAATTTTTTGTTTCCTAGATCATAAGGCCAGCAACTTTTAATCAAATTTTCAGTGAGATTTACAACATCTTCAGATGATACGAATGACATTTCAATATCCAATTGCGAAAACTCAGGTTGCCGATCTGGTCTAGTCGTTTCATCACGATAACATCTAGCAACTTGAAAATATCTGTCTATACCTCCTACCATTAATAATTGCTTGAATTGTTGTGGGCTTTGTGGTAGGGTGTAATATAAATCAGGGCCCACTGACGATGGAACCAGAAACTCTCTTGCTCCCCCTGGAGTGGGTCGAAATAAAGTTGGTGTTTCAACTTCAATGAAGCCATATTGATGTATTAAAAACTCTCTCATCGATGAGATAAGTTTTGATCTGATTCGTAATCTTTTTTGCATTTGTTCGGTGCGGATATCCAGATATCTGAACTTCATTCGAACATCTTCATTTTTATGATTGAAATCGTGAATAGAAAAACCAAGGGCAGTGCATGGATTCAAAATTTCAATTTCGTTGGCATGAAGTTCGATATCGCCAGTTGACATATTTGGATTGATATCCTTTTCAGGACGAGGATTCACCACGCCTCTTGCTTTAATTACAGATTCCAAGGCAAAATTTTTCGTGTTGCCAGATTTTAATAAAATCTGAACTTGCCCATGCCAGTCTCGCAACACAACAAATTTTTTCATTCGTTTGAATTCAACCCAACCGCATAGAGTGACTTCATCACCAATATGATTTTTCCGTAACTCGCCACAGGTGTGAGTCCGCCAACAATATTCATTCCATTTTACTGTGCTACTGTAAAGTCTCCAGTAACAGTTACCACTAACCCTGACATGGTTTAGTGACAAGAGAGGCAAAAATCTAGTCAAGATTACCATTTCTACGTAAATAGAAATAAGTTGAGGTATGATATTCACTCATGAACAAATTGCGGTACATGGTCAGATGATGGGATTTACAAATTAAGGAAAAATATTTTTCAAGAAAGAATTAAAAGATTCCTTCCCCACAACATTATTACCGGTAGTGCTGCAACTATCAATAATTTAGTAATATGATAGGTAGAAAATGGAAGCAGCGATGAGAGAGAGAGAATTTATTAATTTAATCTTTTGTGTATATATGTTTATCTTGCTTTTGCAAATGAATCGAAATAAAATCTCATCTTACGGTATTTCCGTCAAACCAGAAAACTTGATAATGAAAATACAAAAGAGGGGTCTCATGTAGTTTCTTACCTAACATACTTCTAGTGGGGGTAGCATGAAATTTTTTTCACGTAGCAATCCTAACCCCCACCTGTGACTACACCATCCAAAAATTACGTCATTACGACGTCACAGTGACGTAATAGAGCCCTTCAAACTATACAAACTGCCATCCAAGACGCGCAAACGAGCACCCGAAATCGAACAGTTAGTTTACTCGTCGCAACCGATAACGTCAGTCAGTTTTTCAAGTGCAGTTTTAAGTATTCTGTGGCATCTGCAGCTGCCGCAAAACCATGGCAGTATTTCCATACCATGGCCGCTACGGCCAAACTCATGGCAACTGACTTTTTAGCTGCCACAAACCAATGTCGAGCTGCCGTTACCGCGGCAGCAAATTGGAAACCAATGGCAGGTAAAATTTTGCTGCCGTAACCGCGGCAGGTGGGCCGTAGAGACAAGGCTGTCTATTATGGTGACAAATATTGGGTAAGTTGGAACGTTTTTCTTATGGATACAGTTTTGATTGATTTGGGGTTAGGGTTTAAGTAGATATAATTCCACATAATCAATTAAAATCTGGTACATTAATTTGTGAATATACCGTTAATACTGATTACTGAATACTGAATAGCGCTATAAAACCATGGCAAGAGCTGCCGCGGTTCGTTCGTGGCAGGAGCTGCCATGAAGTGGTAAGGACTGCGCCTCCAGTTTTTTATCGTCGGCGCCAATGCCGTTTCGATCGATCGTGCGTATATTTGGTAAGCTCTACCGGTATGCCGTGATTGTGATGTCGTAGTGATTTAATTTTTGGATGGGGGTTAGGGTTGACATATCAAAAAATTGTTATGCTACGCCCTCTAGAAGTACAGAAGTACGTTAGGTACGAAACTACACGAGACCCCAAAAGAGAACAAGCACAGGTACATGCAGAGAACATCTCTACAGCTAAGCCTATCTTTTAACATTTCACTTCTCTCCCTGCAGTCCTACTACAGTTACAGTACTATATTTAATTCGATCCGATTTTTACAAACTGCTGCCACAATGGGTAGTTATAAAATGGCTATGTCCCATATGTCCGCTATGTCCCTACTAAAATGGCTATGTCCCTACTAAAATGACTATGTCCCATCTAAAATTGCGACTCCGATATTTTCCTACTAAAATGACTATGTCCGCTATGTCCCTACTAAAATGGCTATGTCCGCTATGTTCCTACTAAAATGGCTATGTCCCATCTAAAATTACGACTCCGATATTTTCCTACTAAAATGACTATGTCCCTACTAAAATGACTATGTCCGCTATGTCCGTACTAAATTGACTATGTCCGCTATGTCCCTACTAAAATGGCTATGTCCCTACTAAAATGGCTATGTCCCATCTAAAATTGCGACTCAGATAATTTCCTACTAAAATGACTATGTCCGCTATGTCCCTACTTAAAATGGCTATGTCCGCTATGTCCCTACTAAAATGGCTATGTCCATCTAAAATTGCGACTCCGATATTTTCCTACTAAAATGGCTATATGTCCGCTATGTTCCTTACTAAAATGGCTATGTCCTACTAAAATGGCTATTTCCGCTATGTCCCTACTAAAACGGCTATGTCATCTACTGCATTTTTAATATAGCCATGCATATCTGAGAAAAAAAGCTAGTATATGTCTTGATGCAATTAAAATAAGTTTATTGCTTAGGCATATTAACGAATTGTGTCAAGGGCCGACTCTATCAAGGTCTCTAATATTTAATAGTCATTAATGAAAATTATATTTTCGAGTCTTTCTCTTTCCTTTTTTCTCCCTTTTTCAATCCAGCTGTTTGTGATGGAGTTTATTGTTTGCAATTTACCATCAGGTTGATGAACAAAGACGAGGAGGACATGTTTCAGGGGAAGACAACTGAACACGTTGTAAAAAATCTTTAAAATATTTATTTTGGTTCGACTTCAGCATCCAAGTGTATACGGACAACGAAAATTGGGCATATGGTCCGTACAACGTGTATGGCCCCTTGCTTCAACAGTGCCTTTCTCACATCGGTATACGACGACTTGATTATATCACCAAGCATGTGAATTAAATCAGGAAGTTTATGTTGTCTCCAATTGGCAACGCATTTCAATACATGGTTTAAGGACTCGTTGTTGTTATTTGTCCACAGTATCCATTTGTATGTGACTTTTTTTGCCAAATATTATTTTTAAATAACGGAAGAAATCTTGTTTTAGGTATCCAACAATACCTTTGCACCTGGTTTTACAGTACGATACGACTTCTTCAGTCTTTGAATCAAACTCTTTTTCATTTTGGCAATGAAACAAACCGAAAACTTCACTAACAATTGATCTCCGGAGGTTTTCACTGGGTACCGACCTTATCCTTAGGATAATTTATTAAATTTTCCCTCATGTGTCTGCTGCAAAGGACATGAGTTGAATCCGGAGAAGAAGATGTGAAAGCACCGTGTAGGGCCGATTCGTCATCAGTACCAACGGTCAAGTTATCCAACTTTCTACCAAGTTTGGATTTTATGTTGGTAAAAAATTCTGTAAATGTGGATTTGTCAGATTTGTGGTGTAAAAATATAGGACCGAAAAACAATGGGTGTTCACCGGATTTACATGACAGCAAGGAAAGATTTTTGAAAACTGTAACTGTGACGTAGACTCGTCCTAAATTGAAAGTTTTATCAATCCCAAGAATAGTTTTACCTGAGCAACAAAACCGCTTCAGATCCAAGCATTGCTCTTCAAAGAATAAAGTTACATTAACAGATTCCATTTTACTGTGGGTTACTTTTTGTACAAATTCGTTTGTTTGCGCCATGTTAATGACCTCTAATATCTCGTCAGCGTAATTTTTATGATATATTTTTATTCCTGCTCCCTGCTTTTTCTTTTTTTGATTGAACCTTAGATTTCTGGGGTTTTCCTCCGCATGTTGTTGAAGATTAACATAAAGTTTTTTTGCAGTAACGCCTTCACATTTAGATATAATATTTTCCATAACGTCTGCTGATGTTCTTATGTACGCCTGTTGGTTTATCTTTGCATTTCCATGGGGTGTATGACCAGGAAATATGCCCTTGCCACTACTGCCACATTCATACCAATGTGGCCATCGATCCAAGTGATTCGTCGTTCATAGCCAGTTGGTTGCCGAGCATAATAACGTCCAATTCTCCATATTTCACTCGTTTTGGGTTGTGGCTCAATAACTGGATATGACAGTTTTTTTCCGTGGCGCGATCTTATGCAAAATCTCCCCCCTTTCTCATAAATATATTTAACTTCGTCATTTTGAAGTAAATACAGAGCGGAGGTATAATTGGTTTGTTTCCAGCTTCCGCAATCGTCTTCGAAAATTTGCTTCACTTTTTTCTCTTTTCTGCGTATGTTTTCGTTGTGATCAACTATGAAATAACAGTTGTTTTTCTCCCCCGTTGGTATTCTAGGACTAACTTTCACGGTTTTGTTTTTGAATATTTTCAACAATTCTGAAATACCCAAGAAATACCAAACGGAAGCTCATGCCAGCCCTCGTCTACAGTGTTTTGGCCAGTCTGCGCTAAATCATACTGGATATCATATTTCAGATTCTTCAGTGTGGCAATTTGAAATCTCCAGACCTGGTCCCTCCAGATCAATGCAAGTATTCAAGGACAATTTTTGACTTTGTCGAAGGTGTCTCTTTAATAAAGGAACAAAGTGATTGGGTACGAAATCAATAAAATTTGCAGGAACATTTGTTGTAGTCCACATTATGTGAAAATATGGACCCCGTCTCGAAGAAACCTCCCTACCCTGGATACTTATTGAATAAGCGGGAGATCGCATGTCTGTTGGGCCGGTAGAAGGCTGAAAGGAGTTGTATGAAACTTTCAATGCGGCGCTAAGAGCCAATAAGCAATCCATCCCCACAATGGCTGCCAATTGTCGCTGCACAATGTAGTTACGTTTTTCAGATCAGAGTAACGATCCTAAAGTCTTGAAGGACTGGATGTAAATTTGTTACTCTCGATGTCGTAAACACTGGGGATAAGACAGAATTTCAATAATAGTAAGAAGCGAAGATGAAGGAATGATCCTGTGTACCAAACAAAGCAAAAGAAACTGCCCGATACAGGCATTCCATCACCTATCGTATTATATCGTTCATATTCATCTAAAACCGATGGCGACAATTGTCTGTAACAGAGTATTGGACGGTTCATCTAATTCGCCCTGAAATTCCTCGATTCTGGAACTCAGGAAGCTTTACTTTATGTGCGTCCTCAGCATTTGCTCTGCTCAGCTATTTCTTTCAGGGCATTTATATACATTTTTGGTATCAAAACTCACACGATCAATTTTGTCATAACTCTTCTCATCGACACCTCGAAATCATAAGCCAGGGTCAAGAAAAACACAAGATTTACAATAGTAAGATAGATGTTTTACTCCCCATTGTTGCCGTAATTCGGTTTCTATCCGGGCACAATCGAATGGCACCAGCGTTCACAACCAGAACATTCATGCAACCAGTTGAACAATCCAAACCGCAAAACAAGCATTTGTATTGATGACTGATACATACCTCGATCCGGCAAGAATGAAAAAATCGTTGTGCCAGCGTCGACAAATACAACATTGTGCCAACTCGCAAATAAAAGATACCACACTCATGAATTTTCCCAGCAAAAACAATAAATTTGTTGCTAAATAAATTCTAAATTATACGCAGTCCAACAAGCACTTTAAAATGCTATCTTAATTTTTTGATAATTTCCTTGTCTCTTTCTTCTTTACGGTATAGTCATACTATGTGGCAACTTGGAAAACTAGCTTGGGAAATGTCCTTTGTGAACGTCACTAATACGGAATATATATTTACAGGGTGGTCCAAGGGTTGTCGCCTCGCG